ATGTCATAAGAATTCATTTTTCTGGAACTCGAACTTGTTTATTGGAGAGATGTGAACTTGATGTGACTGCGTGATTGGTTCAGTCAACAGGTGAACTGAAGAAAGACTTGCCTTTTATCGTGAACCATGAAAATTTAAATTTGACTGGTATTACACGACTGCTGGGAAAATCTAAGGTACGATTGAGATTCTTTATTCCTGGCTATTTCTTAATCAATTCCCGAGCTGGTAGAATTAAATAGGAATAAAGCAATTAATCATATAATAAATTTGTCATGAAACTTAATGAATTTTACATCAGGACTTCAGCCAACAAATCAGCATAAAAGAATACCAGCGAAAGACGACGCCGTCGGTGTCTTTGATTAAATTCAGTGATTTAGATGTCATCAGCAATCAAAAACAAACACATCGGAAGTTTTGGGGACAAGCAGTCCAAAAGCCATTTATAAAGAGAACAAAATCAGTAAAGTATCACTTCGATAAGTAAGGTCTATCTTTTTTCCGTGTGTTTTCTCAATGAACAACGGGTTTAAGTTACTTATAGGTTTGGGATTACCTTACGAAGACCATCTAGCGCTAGAAGCCATTGCACAAGGAAGTGTCTTCATGAATCCAAAAGTAAGAAATGGTTAGAGTTTGCTGTCATTATCTTTTATTTTAACTTAACTTCAACCGAAAAAGACCTCGCTTTTTTTTGAGTGGCCTGCGTCACTCTGAGTTTAATGTTTTTCTCTCCCTTACATCATAAGTTGTTCTCAGGGACGACATACAACATAATTATAATTTATAACCTCTGTTTTGTTGTTTGGCTGTATGTTTAATTTAAACTGTGCCAACGGCGGAATAACGTCTTCGCAGAATTGCTCCTAAAGCATTTCTGATGATTTTCGTGTAAGATAATGAGGAACCAATTCAAACTATCTTTGTTGTGCTTTTATTTTTCTCACTTTTGACCGGTAGCACTGTTTTTTCTTCAGTTTTCTACGCATAAAAATCGTCTCAATGATCCAACTCTGAAAGATCTGCCATCTTCAAGAAACGTAAGTGATAAAATGCGGTAACGGAGGAAAAGAAAGTAAAGATTAATAAATTCACTTTTCACATGTGAAACCAAGTTCGTAGTCAAGTTCATATTTGTGGCTAAATCCACTAAATCTTGATTTACTCATCTCAAACAACAATCAAATCCGGAATGCAGGATAGCTAAAATTTTAAATCTAAGGATAACAATAATATATTACAAAACAAGTGCATCGCCGACCTGTGTCTTTCATTTGCTGTTTTTTTTTTTTTTTTTGTGATAATGACATTTTTCATATTTCAGTTAAGCTCGCAGCATCCTTATGCAGAGATATTTATTGGAGAGCCTTTCGTTTATACAGCGAACATTTGGAATAAGACAGAGGTGAAAATATCAATAAAAAACATCCTAAGCAAACAGGTAAGAAAAGAAAGACTGTCATTAGAAGTCATCATTGGACTAAGTACCTTATTTCCTTTACTCNTTGACAACTTTATCAAGGCAATTTTCAAGTATGTATGTTAGTGTGAAGGATTTTTCTTCGTCCGGCTAGAAACCAAAATCTGAAAAATATTAATCAAGAATGTGTAATGTTGGCTAAGATTGTAAATCTTGCCACGTTTCACACCTGTTATAAACGTCCACTGATGTCATAAGAATTCATTTTTCTGGAACTCGAACTTGCTTGTTTATTGGAGAGATGTGAACTTGATGTGACTGCATGTTTGGTTCAGTCAACAGGTGAACTAAAGAAAGACTTGCCTTTTATCGTCAACCATGAAAATTTAAATTTGACTGGTATTACACAATTGCTGGGAAAATCTAAGGTACGATTGAGATTCTTTATTCCTGGCTATTTCTTAATCCATTCCCGAGCTGGTAGAATTAAATAGGAATAAAGCAATTAATCATATAATAAATTTGTCATGAAACTTAATGAATTTTACATCAGGACTTCAGCCAACAAATCAGCATAAAAGAATACCAGCGAAAGACGACGCCGTCGGTGTCTTTGATTAAATTCAGTGATTTAGATGTCATCAGCAATCAAAAACAAACATATCGGAAGTTTTGGGGACAAGCAGTCCAAAAGCCATTTATAAAGAGAACAAAATCAGCAAAGCATCATTTCGATAAGTAAGGTCTATCTTTTTTCCCTGTGTTTTCTCAATGAACAACGGGTTTAAGTTATTTATAGGTTTGGGATTACCTTACGAAGACCATCTAGCGCTAGAAGCCATTGCACAAGGAAGTGTCTTCCTGAATCCAAAAGTAAGAAATGGTTACAGTTTGCTTAACTTCAACCGAAAAAGTCCTCGCTTTTTTTTGAGTCGCCTGTGTCACTCTGAGTTTAATGTTTTTCTCTCCCTTACATCATAAGTTGTTCTCAGGGACGACAACATAATTATAATTTATAACCTCTCTTTTGTTGTTTGGTTGTATGTTTAATTTAAACTGTGCCAACGGCGGAATAACGTCTTCGCAGAATTGCTGTTAGAGCATTTCTGATTATTTCCCTGTAAGATAATGAAGAACTAATTCAAACTATCTTTGTTGTGCTGTTATTTTGATCACTTTTGACTTGAGGTACTGTTTTTTCTTCAGTTTTCTCCGCATAAAAATCGTCTCAATGATCCAACTCTGAAAGATCTGCCATCGTCAAGAAACGTAAGTAATAAAATGCAGTAACGGAGGAAAAGAAAGTAAAAATGAATAAATTCACTTTTCACATGTGAAACCAAGTTCGTAGTCAAGTTCATATTTGTGGCTAAATCCACTAAACCTTGATTTACTCATCTCAAACAACAATCAAATCCGGAATGCAGGATAGCTAAAATTTTAAATCTAAGGATAACAATAATATATTACAAAACAAGTGCATCGCCGACCTGTGTCTTTCATTTGCTGTTTTTTTTTTTTTTTTTGTGATAATGACATTTTTCATATTTCAGTTAAGCTCGCAGCATCCTTATGCAGAGATATTTATTGGAGAGCCTTTCGTTTATACAGCGAACATTTGGAATAAGACAGAGGTGAAAATATCAATAAAAAACATCCTAAGCAAACAGGTAAGAAAAGAAAGACTGTCATTAGAAGTCATCATTGGACTAAGTACCTTATTTCCTTTACTCTATCTGTTGAACACTTCGCTCTTACAGCTAACTGTTTTTATTCAAGGTCAAACCATTTGTTCCTTTCGAGTTTTCCTGTGAAGGAATGTTGGAAAGATTAAACGCTTACATCGAAAATCAGGTGAGAACAAGTTATCTTGTCCTTACTCGTCCCAGTCCCTACTTATCAATAGTATCGGAGTGAAAGACTAGGGAGATATTTGAGAAGATAGCGTGGGCTCTGGGGAAGAGCGAATCTTCCCTCGACCTTTCCGTGAGTCTATGCGAGAGGACAAAACCTTATACCAGCGTAAGGTTATCCTAAGGTGAATCAATCTGTTATTAATTACAAGCACCCAAGATGCATTGCCCGTCCAATGGCTTGACTAACCAATTACGGGGAAGGGTTTGGTAAGGTTTTTACCTAACTGGCTAATTAACGACCCTCCAAAAGAAGGGACGTCACGTCAAATCAGTTACCAATGCAGCGATTTTTCTACTGCGGAGATGCTGGTTCTATCTTTTTGGTCTGTTTATTGCTGTATTTTTTGCATAAACAAGCCTTCTGATGTCTAGTCTCGTATTTCATGTACCAGCGTGTGGATGGTTTCACAGTTAGCAAACGTCACCAACCTCCAAAAGTAACGATAAGAAACAGCTGCTTTAAAATCTGTAACGGAAATCGTTTCTTAGTTTGTTTCAACGGTATGCTTGTTATGAGCTGTCTTTCATCTTGTACTTGCCTTCTCTTCTCCCAAATATGGTTTTCGAGCCTTAAAATCATTTCTTCCGGCTTCAACCCTGTGTTGTTTTCTAACAATACTAAAAAACTGAAAGGTTGATGTTGCATTCTCACTGACAGGATTTTTGTGACAAATCTTACCACTGGCCTCTTCAAAAGGGCGACTTACAAATAACCATCGCACGTCCTGGAAACTCGTGTACAGACACGTGCTTTAACGAAGGTATCTTGCTCCTACCATTGTGTTATCTATATTTACATTAGACTGGCTCTTGATATAAAGGAGGTTAACATTGGAAGTGTACAAAAGCAAAAACCGACACAACGTAGAATGATTTTTGAAGGTGTACTATATTTCGGTTGGCCAAACCAGCCTTCTTCAGGTGCCTGAAGAAGGCTGGTTTGGCCAGTCGAAATATAGTACACCTTCAAAAAATCATCCTACGTTGTGTCGGTTTTTGCTTTTGTATTCTTCATCTTATATGTAAAGCCGATTAGATCACTATTGACCCAACGTATACCAGCAGGATCATCGTTCCGGTTGCTTGCTTAAACATTTTATAGTCATTCGAAGTGTGAATTTTAATACAAGGATATATTATGAACATTCCAAAAGACACCTGGCTCGCACTCCTTTTCCGGATTTCCAAATAATCTTGTAGCAGATTTTGAACTAGTAGGCTTCTATGTCCATCCATTTAGCAGACTTGAGGTTGCTATCTAAGCACTTTTGCACAACCGAGAGCGACGTAGCTTCTAGATCCGATCCTAGAGTGTTTAACTACAGTCCTTTTATGATTTTTTCCTTCTAGGTCTGACATGTGAATCAGAGTATTTTTATCTCTTAAATTCCAGGTAATACTTGATATGTCTTTATGAGGTGATAAGGTTATGGTTATAACCATGCACTTCTGTCGTATTGGAACTCGTATAGTAAATAACTTACTAATGTTTGTGATGGGCAGGAAGAAATCAAAGGGACGTAACACTTTCACAAAGGGTGCAGCTGCCTGTAGACTAACGCCTCACAGTCAGCGGTTTATAAACCAATCCCTCCTCGCATCAAACCACCTCGTTATCATTTCTCCATTGTTCTGATTTGTTACTGATTGCTCACAGAGAGTAAGTCATACCATTCAGTCAGCCAGTCAGTCACCGAGCCAGTCCGAGAGAGTAAGTCTGTCAGTCAGTTCTGCCAGTCATTCAGACGGTCATGCCGTCATTCAGTCGGTTAGCCAGCAAGTCAGTCACTCAGTCAGTCAGTTAGTTAGTCAGCAAGTCAGTCAATCAGTCAGTCAGTTAGTCAGCAAGTCAGTCAGTCAGGCAGTCAGTCAGTCAGTCAATCAGTTATTTAGTAAGCAATCAAATTACACAGTCAGTCGGTCATTAGTTGGCCAGTCAGTCAGTCAGTCAGTCAGTCAGTCAACCAGGCAGCCAGTCTGCCAGTCAGTCGGCCAGTGAGTAAGTCAGCCAGCCAGCCACCCTTGTCAGTCACTCAGCCTGTGAGTAAGTCAGTTAGTCAGCCAGCCAGCCAGTCAGTCAGTCAGTCAGTCAGTAAGTCAGCCTGTGAGTAAGTCAGTCAGCCAGCCCGTCGGTCAGTCAGTCAGTCAGTCAGTCAGGCGGGCAGACTGTCAGTAAATTAAACAGCTGACCAGCCTTTTATTCAGTGTTAAATAAATGAGTTGAATTCCCAACTAGCTCCTACACAATATGCATCACAACTATCANCGGCCCCACTAACACTTATGCTATAAACATTGCCGAGGGTAAATAAGGTTATATTTTTTAGTTACGTCTGTTTTTTTTAAAATTACACTTCGATAGTTATGATAGCTAACTGGTGACCGATAAGAAAAATCTCCATGTTTTATTGTACCTCTTTCAGGTAAACGACCTCAGGAAAGTAAAGGATCTATTGTTCGAGTTGGAGTTGGAGAAAGTCTTTCCCCAAAACACTGGGGAATGCAGGTCAAGGAAGCCAGTGGAAGCACTGTCCACCTATCAATCATGTCATTTGCAAAAGCCATCATTGGTCGATACGAGGTGTTCATTGAAACTAAACGCAAGGAGGCTTCTGGAGAGGAATCTTTGTTTCGATATAAACATGAAGAGCAGATCTGTATCTTGTTCAATGCTTGGTGTTCAGGTAATCTTTTAACTTAGTGATGCCTATGTCGGAGAAATAAGTACATGTTTCGCAGATGAATCTCAAATGCAGTAATTGATTTAAATATGAAAGGGTCTCTTAAGTCACCAGGCGTCCCCTTCCTTGGTTTGAACGTTGTGCACGAGTTGTGGGCCTGTTGTTAACCACCAAGCCTCGCTCTTCATGTTTCCAGTCAATTCACCCCGGGGTGGCACTGCCATATATGGGCTATATAAGTATGTGGAGCTGTGTAGGGTATGGTTTTCAAGCAGTTTACTCTAGGATAGAGTATATAAATCAGAGCGTTTGGCTCTAGAATAGGGTATAATTTTTCACAAAACTGACTAGTTGGTTGAAGATTTTATCTAGACTAAGGAAACCAGGAATTGCCACTCAAAAATTTAAAAAAAGTCAAATCAGCAAGTTTAAATCTACGCAAATCAGCCCAACAGTGTCGATAGATGGGGGGGATTTGGGGAGTTTACTCTATATAGTATAGGGTAGCAAAATTCAGCTGAACTAGCTCTGGTATAGGCTAGGGGTTCCAGGGTCCCAGCGGCACATCCCCACCCAGAAATTCCCAAAGTACCTCCCCCGGGCAATTCACTGACGAAATGCAACACAAGGGGACGAGGCGGCAGAAATAACAACCCGACTTGTTTTCACGGAGCTTACTGTTGCTCTTATTATGTGATATTTAAGAGTTTTTTTTTAGTATAAAAGTTTGTTAATTTGCTTGATACTATAGCTTACTGCTATTTCACAGAGTTTGAAACCTTAAGACCGGCTACGGCTGATGTGGCTTCTATTTCGTAACATAGCAATTTGCCCTTTTAAATTTTGCTTGACAACCAATTGCCTCGTCCTTTAACTCTGACAATGAATTCATACCAATATAGAGAGATAGTTATGTCGCTTGTTGAAAAATATGATTATATAAGAGAGAAGATTTTAATTATCTTCAGTCGGTTCTTTCCTGCTAATGTATATTTCTTTTAATGAAGCCCTGTGATCTGCTATTAAATTTATCAAAGTTAAATTAATAACAGTTTGTGTTAAAATTTGTCCCTTTGGCAGACGATGCAGTTTATATGGAAAACGATGAGCAGCGTAATGAATACGTCATGGAAGACTTTGGCTACATATGGAGAGGTATTTCTTATCGACCAGAGAAAAATCCATGGAATTTCGGACAGGTAAAGTTATTATATCATGTTCGTCAAACCAACTTGGTTACCCAGAATACGCTACATCTAAAATACCCACCCCAAACTTTGAACCCAAGATATTCTTCTCCCGCGGATATATAATGTTACCACACGCGGTGGGTGAATGCTTTCGTGGGAGATAACAAACAATGCGCGCAAAGCCGCTTGAACTGTCAATGTCAGCAAAATGCGTGTCATAGGATTGGCTATTTTTGGACCCTCGTGGATTTCTAAAACTGGAAGAGATCAAAAAATACAACTTTTCAGGAAGGGTAAGAATACAGGTGTTTGGAATGAGATGCAGTCTAAGTTCGTAAACACGCCAAAAATTAACGAGTCCAATATCCAGGCATAGTGACCGAACAAGCTTGCAATTGGTCATTTTAGATTTTTTCATATGGCATAAGGAACACCATTTTTCTAGAGAGAAACAGCGAGTTTGTTCATTTAAATTCTAGCTGAATGAATACAAATAAAGTTGTTGTTGTACTAACCCCGATCGAGTAAGATAGCGGCTCATCGTGTCCGTTCGGGTTGCCAATCACGACACAGGATTTGGTTCATCTTGCCCAGGGTGTCTTATATGTCTTCTCTTGCTTTTCACTATTTAACCATATCACGGTCCGGAAACTGTCGATTTAGGGTTTATCACGCTCTAGATCTTTGGCAAGTCTCTAAGCTTTGGCCAGGTGGCAAGCTGAAGCAAACGTTTAGAGTTTATCATTAACTCTTTCCCTGGTTACGAGGTCCTTTCCTCGGTTTGGCTGTCCCAACTAAATTTAAAGCCGATACCCACCGTTATAATCGGTACGATTTGAGCAAAAACTGTGCTTTGACTTTTGTATTAGTAGCTTTAAGCGGAAACCTTTGTCTATTTTTTTTTTGCCGGTATTCACTGATTTGGTTCGTTACTTTTCAGTTTGAGGATGTTGCTTTGAACTCTGCACTATGGCTGTTGGATAAATCTGAGCTCTCCAGTATTGCGCGGTCCAGTCCAATCCACGTTGTGCGAACTTTATCAGCAATGGTAAGTAACACTGGCATTTCTAGCGATTATATACCCCTCTACCGATAGAATCGGGTAAGAAAAGTGGAAAGGCCTTAAGGGAGAAATTGGTCTGAGAGCCAACTATATGCAGAGGAACTTTTTCTGAGGTCACTCTTCGTATTTCTTAATTAGCAGTAAAGACATATTCCTCTTTCCTCCATCTAAGTGTCAACAGGACGCTTGAATCAACCCTTAGTGAGAAAATTTAGCTTACATTTGTCTGTTTTTTGAAGTACAAACAGGCGGCAGTGATCAAACGACACATTGACATACGCATCATCGGCTTCCCTGAGTGTGGGATATTGTACATTATTAGGTATTATTCAACTCAACATCCTCATAAATTGTGTTAAGAGTATATCGGTGGCACAAGTGGTCAGCATGCCAGGCTACCATCCCTGTTCAACGAAAACTGGCATGTCTCACTCACAGTTCCTGTTGTCCCAGTTTCATTGCAGTCAGATAGAAAGTATCTACTTCAAATTTCAAGATTCTTGGTCAAAAAGAATTCAAAGCTTTAATTTTGGAGTCACGGTTGGCAAAAAAAAAAAAAAAACATCCATGGATGGTAGCAAATTCGGATTAACTTTCCGGTGTAAACGTGTTCTAAATCTACTGGGTATCTTTTTTTACACAGGCAAACTCAAATGACAGAGATGGTGGCGTGTTGTTAGGGCGATGGTCTAATGACTTTCGTGGAGGCACAGCGCCGCTGGCCTGGACTGGAAGTACTGCTATTCTGGAAGAGTTCTGGGAGAAAAAGAAGACCGTGCGTTACGGACAGTGCTGGGTCTTCTCTGGGCTAGTGACTGCACGTAAGGATATATTCATGACAAGCTTCCTGACTGTAAAAATAGTATTAAAACATAAAAATTGTAATAAAACCCTTTCATTGAAGTAATACTGGATAAATGATTCATACCCAGTGATCAAGTATATAATTGGTGTATTGTGTTACAGTGTCACGGGCGTTAGGGATCCCAACCAGAAGCGTGACAAACTTTGATTCCGCTCACGACAAAGATGAAAGCATGACAATTGATTATCATTTCGACGAGGAAGGAGATTTCATAGGTCACATGAGTGACTCTGTATGGTATGTATAACTCATTTTCCCTTCGCTGCATCAGAAACCACCACAAGGTGTTTTTTTCTAGGACACATCGAAACGGCACACACAGTTTGTGGCATGTAACTTTCACAGTTAGGGGTTGATTCCTCAAGTAATGCAAAATTTGTATGTAACACATATTTAAAGTTTCTAAGGGTTTCAATTGTTGCAGGGTTGTTACTAGTATCCAGTAACTGCTAAATGGAACTCTTAGCGGTCACAAAACACGTAACTCCCTAAAATAGCACCACGAGCATGGAAGTACCTCGATTTCATAGAAAAAACTCATTGCTACTACGTAAATAACCTTATAGGAACTATCACGTGTGGAACGAGTCATGGTTCAAGCGTCCTGATTTACCAGATGGTCATGACGGATGGCAGGTTTATGATGCCACACCTCAGGAAAAAAGCGAAAGTAAGACAGTTGATTTTACAGCGGTCAGGGATGTATTTAGCCTATAGGCACGTAAGACCATGTCTACAGGTTTTATCATCCCACTCGTATTTTTAAAAAAAGACACTCTAAAGTTTAACATGTTTCAGCAGATGATAGCATTTTCTTCTCTCCAGAGGACTCCTATCATGACTGGTTTACAACTTTTCGTGTGCAAGCTGTGTTGTCTGCTATGTACATTTTCACACACGTGTAAGGGGACAGAGTCTCAGACATTTTTAAACACCTTGGGAGCCCGGCAAAAGCATGTCGCTGTGTGCTCCCATGANTAGCCTATAGGCACGTAAGACCATGTCTACAGGTTTTATCATCCCACTCGTATTTTTAAAAAAAGACACTCTAAAGTTTAACATGTTTCAGCAGATGATAGCATTTTCTTCTCTCCAGAGGACTCCTATCATGACTGGTTTACAACTTTTCGTGTGCAAGCTGTGTTGTCTGCTATGTACATTTTCACACACGTGTAAGGGGACAGAGTCTCAGACATTTTTAAACACCTTGGGAGCCCGGCAAAAGCATGTCGCTGTGTGCTCCCATGACAATTTTGCCATTATCGATCAGACCTCCCCAAAGTTTGCTCTTAAGATCAAAGAAGCGCTACACATACTTTGGGAGAAACCAACACTTAATGAAAAAATAATATAAAACTTTCTTTTTGAGTTATGTATTACTATTGTAATTGCTTTAATTGTTATTGTTATTTCTTCACTGTTCTACATGACCCGTTTAGGAAACAGTTGGGTTAAAAATTTCTCTAACTGATTTTACGTCAGAGATCTTTCGCTGTGGTCCTGCATCAGTGAAAGCGGTAAAAAATGGAGAGGTATACCTACCTTACGACACAGGCTTTGTTTTTGCTGAAGTTAACGGGGATAATGTGTACTGGGAAGTCAAGAAAGACGGTTCAATGGAGACCACGAACGTGGACAAAAACGCTATTGGGAATTCTATTAGTACCAAGGCTCCAGGCTCCGAAGAAAGAGAGGATCTTACTGGCGAATATAAATATCCTGAAGGTAAATCTGCTTCTTTGCACACGTTTCTCTTTTTGTACACGTCTGTGTCTGTCCCTTTGTCCGTCCGTTCGTCATTCAGTCAGTCATTTAGTCCATCAGTCAGTGGTCAGGTGGTCGGTCGGTCGGTCAGTCAGCCAGTCAGTCAGTCCGTCGTTCAGCCAGCGTCTGTCTGCCCGTCCGCCACCCAGTCAGTCTGTCAGTCTGCCAGTCTGCTAGTCTGTCATTCTGCCAATAAGTCAGTATGTCAGTATGTCAGTCTATCAGTTTCTCAGTCAGTCAGTCAGTCAGTCAGTCCGTCCGTCCGTCCGTCCGTCTGTCTGTCCACGGTCTGTCTCTCAGTCTCTCAGTTTGTCAGTCAGTCAGTCAGTTAGTCAGTCAGTCAATCTGTAAGTTAGTCAGTCAGGCAGAGAGGCGGGCGGGAAGGCCAACAGGCAGGGAAACAGGTGGGCAGTGGATTTTTCTATGGCATTAATGAAACTTGCTCGACCGATAACACTTATTCCATCCTTTTTGTGTTTACTATAGGTTCAAATGAAGAGCGAAATGCTGTTAAATTGGCATTCCAGTACAGCAGTCGCATAGAGCACGAAATTTACAAACCTGAAGTTGAAGATGTTGAATTTCGTCTGGAGGTTGGAGACACGGTTTACGCCGGCAAGAGTTTTGATGCCGCGGTTGTTGTGGTAAACAAGTCAGAGAATACACAAAACATCAAAGTTAACTTTGCAGCTGTGTTGAGCTTTTACACTGGTGTGCCTGAACGGAGACTAAAAGGATACAAGCTCCAATTCCTGTTAAACTCAAACGCAGGTAAATTTTGTCAGCAAGTATGAGGGATCGCTGCAAGTAAGTACCGTAAAATTGCAGTTAAACATATTACGGTATCACTCAACCGACAGAAAAGATAAACTGCGAAACTCCTCTACGAACCCAACCTATTTATTTAACGGTACCTAGTGAAATCCTTAAGTTACAAAGGAGCGACTTCTAAACAATGCAATCTATTATCAAGCCAACTTAGGCATACTACTAAAACTTCAGTCACCACTGACACAAAATCACAGTAAATGTTGTCTACGAAGAAACCTCCTCCCGCCGACTTGACTTTAAATGAAGTTCCTCAATAGCTGAGTACAGTTATCTTGTTATAGCTTCTACAGTCGGTCTCTGGTCGCGAGTCTGCTTACAGCAACCGACGACGTTACACCGTACGCTAGCTAGCTGAGTCTTCATATATAATTAACTAATATTCTAGGACATCCTTGAAGCTTCTAACACAACTATTAATTTTATGTAGCACACTACATCGTAATTACATCATTTCATAGATTGTTCTAAACTGTTCCATAGCATGACAGTAGAAGGTTCTGGTACAAACATTGCGTGACTAAACATTCTGGAAATTACCGGAAACTTAGTATTTAAAATTGCTCTCCATGCATAACACAAGTTCTGGGCCTACACAACATCATAAGAGGTTCTGGGTGGGCTATAAACGCGGGAAGGAGAGGGGGAGGGTGAATTTTTTTTGTGGGGGTAGGGGATGCGGTATACGTATATATAAATCAAAATGATCTGATCAAACCAACATTCAGCAGTGTTATACGACGTTTTATCTTCTTGAGAACAAGAAACTTGCTTCTAAAGTAAGAAAGTAAAGGCGAGAAGCACTCAGGTCATTGTATGGTGCTCCCTCATAATGGCAAACTCCGCAGGTACACAAACAAATCCCACTGACATTTGATACAGTTAACACCTGAAGAGATGTTCTGTATGTCGGTCTTTGGTTGAATACATAAACCGTTTCTTGAATGGAAGGTAAGGGGGGGGGGGGGGGGGGGGGGTCTCCACGATCCGCCATTGGCGCTGTAAAAGCAATAAAAGTAGTAGTAGCCGAGCAGTTGCTTTAGCGTCAGCTTCTTTAGTAGCTTTAACAGTAGCTTTAGCAGAAGCAGAGGAAGAAGCCAAAACAGTTGCTGTTATTAGTAACACTAGCATTAGTTATCAGTAGAAGCAGTAGTGGCAGTAACAGCGTAGTTACAGTAACAGTGGGAGTAATAGTGACAGTACCAGTAGACGTAACAGCAGTATAGTAATAGTCGGTAGCGGTAACGTATGTTGTAACAGTATTGGTATCAGCAGCACTNGGGGGGGGGGGGAGGGGCATAAACGGAATTTCATAGCAACTGATAAGCACTTGAAGATTGGCGTCAGGGGAAACAGCGAGTTTTGTTTTTCCCAATTTCCTCCATGTTCCGATCGGCTTGGCCTCGGTGAACATTCAGTGTCGGGGCGAAACAAAATTCACTGTTTCTGTACAACCAGTCGTTAAGCGTTAAGTGTTTTGCTATACGCCCCCTTCCCACCACAAAACTCAAAAGTCTTTGTTACTCATCGCATAATTTTTCCACGGCTGCCTAAAATTTGACGAAACCAAATATTTAAAACTGCCATACCTGAAGCTTTCACCTTCGTTTTTTACTGAGATATCCTTCTTTTAGTCAACTTAGATTTTTTTCTGTAAAAGCAATGTTGTATTTCATCAAAGTACGTACAAAACATCAGAAGGAAGCATTGCAGAGGAAGAGAAATTTGCGGAAGAAAACTCATTTTTTTTTGTATTGTTTTATAGCTGTGCAATTCAACTCGTATTTTGTATCACACCAATATCTGGTTTTGGGCGTGCACATTACTGTCTGAGCCACAAAGAATCTATACTGCTTTTTTTTTCCTTTTGTCTAGAAAAACGATTAGTCTTGACAATTGAGCCTGAAGATTACATTACTAAAACCGGTACAGGTGGCTCTATCAAGCTATACGTAAAAGGTAAAGTAGAAGAAACAGGCCAGTCCTTTGCTACCCAAGATGTGGTCGAGCTGACGAAACCTACGCTGAACGTTACAGTAAGTCATTTTGACAATAAATAAATTACACTTACTTACGGTGATTCAATGAGCTTCGAAAAGGTGCTTAAGCACTCCCTGTGAAGAGGTCGTGTTCATAAAAATGTTCATGGGGAAATCTGATCCTTTATCGATGCTCAGTTTTCATGAAATGGCCAGATCAGTTTCCTTATTCTTCTTTATTCTATTGTCCCTGCCTTAATAAATTGGAAAAAATTTACACCCAGAAATTAATTATAAATACATTTAAATCTATCAGCTGGAAACTGGAATAGAAATTGGCCCCTTTATGTGTTCAAAAGTAGGTTATCTAAGTTAAGCGGGATAATTTGGAAGTGGTTACGAGGCTCAGGCTAAAAACCGTATCAAACGAGAAGTCCCGTGTTTACATCCACTATGGAAACACGTACCATTTAAGATTTTTATTAAGCAATTATTTCGTTTTGTTTAGGCATCTGCAACACAAGTGAAGATAGACGAAGATGTTGAAGTCACTTTCTCATTCACGAATCCTTTACCAGTACCCCTTACAAACGGACAGTTTCACTTGGAAGCTACTCGGATGACACCCAAATCCTTGGTCGTTGATTGCAAGTGAGTATAACGTTATAAAGAGACAACCTATTCACTTTGGTAGAGAGAGGCAACATCCTTGTCGAACAAAATTTCCTTTAGCCCGTGTCACAGCCGCCCTTCCCGACAGAAAGAATCTGATTTTTCTTTCGGGGAGGGCGGCTGTAAGACAGGCTAGGTTTCCTTCACTTAATGTTTAAATATCAGGTTTAAATATCGCGTTGTGCGTAAGCATAAGGGCCCCGCACGTTCCGTAACGTGAGAGGACGGTCATAAAACAAAATTGCGTTATTTCGTGATTTTGAAGTTTTGAGCGAGTTGCTTTTAATATCGCGGATTTCAAACGCAGCGGTCAAATTCAAGGGGGTAGGACGAAGCTTCGTTTCAAGAACATAGATGTTAACACCCGTACCGGCAGAAACTTACTCCAAGACCTTTCTGTATTCTTGACAGGGGCCCAGTGGGTATTAAGGAAGAAGCCAAGATGTCGGCCACTTTCACCGCGACAAGGAAAGGAAAACATCACATTGTCGTGAGCTTCCAGTCCGACGAATTAACTGATGTTCACGGCGAATGTACCGTGTCGGAACCCGAAGCAACGTAAAACAACGTATCAGCACAATGAATCGAACATGAGCTCATGCACTGTTCATGTCACAGTGGATTGTGCGTACTCTAGTTTCTGCCACTCACGGTTAATTGTTACCCCCCATAGCGGGTTTTTTTTTTTAGATTACTGATTTAAACTATATATAGTTGTCTAGATTTATGAAAATCGTGTCAATCTCAAACTTTTCTGATTTGAAAAGAGCCAGCTATGCCTGACACCCGTATCGCCAGGCTTCAGGCGAAAAAGTTCTACACCATTTTTGACAGCGTTTTCGTAAATCCGGACATATAAATTTTAATACTTCCCGATGCGGTCCATCTAAAATCCAATTACTCAGCAGTAGCCATTAATTCTCTCTTTCAAAGAAGAACGACAATTTGACAAAGAGACTTCCTTCACGAAATGGAGTTTAAAGGATAACAAGAAATTTTACAAATATCAACATTAAAACCCTGCAGATCATTTTATTCGTATCAATATTCACATTTACATCGACTCTATTAAAAATGTGACGTCTAGTTGTAGTAAATAAAATGATGACATGTTACTAACAAAGACGTTTTGCTCCGACGCAACCAGCGTAAAAAATGTGACATTTCATGCCATTTACACCACGTCTTATTCTTAAATTACTCGAAAAGAGTAGAGCAGTTTTTAATTGAGTGTCGTCCTACCAAAATCAAAGTAATCACTTTGACCAGTCAATCAACCGACAGTCCAGTGAACCAATCAAAACTCGAAGCAAACAAGTGCAGCTTGCGTGAACGGTGGGAAAACGTGTGCGAGTGAGATGGTTTAACGTCTGACTGGTGTAGGAATTGGCGCGAGGTTTTCAAACCAGTTAATTCCGTAGAAATGCACAAACAACGCAAATAAACTTCGAAGTTCAACTGAAAACTCCTCTAACGATGGCACTGCACATACGTTGTAATGCTGTACATACCGTTTCATTAAACATGAATTCAAAAATATCATAACCTCGATAGTTTTAATGCATATAATGATGCGATGGCACTGAAAACATCTTTTGGTATTAATTAGTTCTTCGTGAAATTAACAGCTTAATGTCTTCCGCAACAGTCATCTGAAGACTCATCTAGACTTAGACACTTAAATAAAGGTTTTACTTGCTTACTTAGACCAAAACTAAAGGTGAAGTAAGTACATTCGAACATAGAGGTAATCTGCGATCAGACGTTTTTTTTTTTTTTGCGAAGGGTTCAACCACATTTAATTTAACTAGCTTAAACTAAAATAAAGAAAAGTGAATGTCATGTTCGTTATCCGAGTGTTGTCCGATTATCCGATTCTTATTGAAAATTGTTTAGTTATCGTTTAACTTTTATCCATTCTTTTATTCCATTGATTGTCGGGCGTCTGAGATTAGAATGCATTACATTTGCCTTAAATAAAATCGCCCCTGTTCACAAAATATATTTAAAATAAGACTTGGAATATGTACATGAACGCCAAGAGATGGAGAGAAACAAAATACACGGCAAGGGCGGCTCTGCGAAAACCACGGGGCCTGCCCAGTGAGAGAGACGTCCTGCAAAACAGAAGCAAAAAAAAAAAAAGAAAAATGTCTCATGAAACCACGAGAGCGATTATCATCTCTATTAACAACTGGTTACAAAAGACTGCTACGAAATTTGCCTATGCGATACATGTTTCATATAAGCATTTGCTGCACTTAAGGCAAGTTTCCAGACTTCTTTTATAGTTTTTAATCTGTTTTTCAGACGTCAGCTTTATTTTCTACAATTTGAGAGTGATTCCGAGACTCTTCACAAACCTGCGATCATATCCACACAAAACCAACCTGCCACAGTCCTCCAATCCGGGAGATCTTTCAAATCCACAATCCTCCATTTTGCTCCAACGACGGGCTGATACTCGAAACGACAGCCGTTCCAAATTCATTACAGCGATAACTTAGCTTTACCGACGTAGAATTGATAACTAGCTAAGTGTTTTACTCGGCCGCCGAAGAAGAGCAATAATTTCTTTGGAAACTAAGATTACGACAAACGTACATACCCTCCCTTAAAAAAGCGCCCTAGTTGACTTGTAAAAGAGCTGGCTTGACGACCTGTCAATGAACAAAATGCGAAAACATTTTTCAATTGTATTGATTACCACCAACTTCAAGAGGCTGACATCTACCTCGGAGCAAGATTTGAAGACGCTAAGGAATGTTCTCAAAGTCAGACACCTCGTTTCTTGACAAAAACAGCACATAGCCATTGACAGGAAACCATAAATGGTTAATGGGATATTATTCTCACTTTCCTCGCCATCAAAATTCATGGCGAGGATATCGATGGAAGTAAACAATTTACTTTCGTCAACATTATCGCCATCGTTAGTACAATAAAGACACATGCGACTGCTCAAGATTTCATGTTCAGCTGAGATATCTAGCAATCCCCTTGTTCCGAGATGAATCCGTCACGAAATAAAATGCTTTTTGTCATTTAGTTCAAGTGAAAAAACCAAGTAACAGAGAAGCGCAATTGTCAAAACGACCTACATGAAATAGCCTATCTGAAACAAATAAAATAATGTGCGTGACGGGATTTTTCGAGGTTTAATCGTATCATAAGAGCGACGTTTTCAATACCTCGATTGATACTTACTGACTTGTGGTGAAGAATAATGATATTTGGTGGGAAATTCTTTGGAAGGGCTTCCAACCTCCTCGATTTGCAAGGAAACCTTAAGACAAGAACATATTCATCGGATATAAGCAAGTACCGTTCATACTCTCTTGAACTTCAAGGAATCTTAAGGCGCTAGGGCACACTGAGTACATACATCAGCGAGAGAAAGTAATATTACGGAACTTAATTTAAGCCCTGGATAATAATTTGATACAATTACCGCAGTGGAACCGAGAGTTTTTTTTTGCGGGTGAGTATATCACACCTGTAGCGCTTCTCTCCACAGAACATGGTGAAGTATTAGGGCGGCGGGGACATTCAGGATAGGCTCGCCCCCCCCCCCCCCCCCCCCCGCCTCGCCCAGGGGCAAGAATACTCTTAGCCGCTTCATGAAACGCAAACCGAGACAATAATTACGATCAATAAACGCCAAAGAATACAAAGAAATGGTACAGGAGTACAAATATCCAAAATTGTATAAACAAGATCAAAACGGCTTGCAATAATCATAACGTCAGGGATTGTGTATGACGACGTTTTCGTTGGTTCCAATTCATTGAAGGGAGCAATAGGATTAAGGAAACAGAACGTTGCAACTGTCAATATCTTTTCACGATCCAGGACACGTAGTACGATCAACAAAAAGAAATTACCAGAAGAAAACTAGAAAATAACGCTCCATACCTCTCCTTCACGGCATTTAGCCTCGTAAAGCTCCTCCATCTCTTGCAACCTGAAAAGGGAAAAACACAGAACTAAACAAAAGTTCCCGGCCATTATAAACTACAGTCAAACCTGTATATAACAGCCCTGAATTAAGCGGCCACCCTCTGTTAAGCGGCCAGTTTTCAAAGTCCCGATTTTTCGTATTTGTTACCTGCATTAGGCAGCCACCTCTATTAAGCGGCCGCGGCCACCCTGTAGCAGTCCTGTTTGGGCTTTGTTATTTTTACCTGTATTAATGGCAACTACCATACTTACCTGTATTAATGGAAACTAAGCCACGTGCCATTTTATGCGGTATTTTATCGTTTAAAATGCGATCCATCATGACTATTTAACAATTAGCCTCATGGGCTATTGACCTAGAATGGTCCCGGGGGTGACCGCCCTTGAGGGCGAAGGGTCTAATTGTTTTAGTATCACCCAACTAGTCGGACAGAAAAGGCAATAATAAAGTTAGCAAATGCAAGTTGAAGAAATGTTTATTTGGGAATAAAACGAAAGAAGGCGTCACGCTCGATTGCGGCAATTTCGCTACTCGAGGACTATTACTAATAGTCCTCTGGTAGCGTGGCCAATCAAAATGCAGGATTTTCATTAGCCCACTAGTTGGGTGATACTAAAAAGGAATAACATGGACAAAGCTACTGTAAGCTGATAATCCGCCGTTTAGTACCGTTAACGCTTTCCAGATGTCCGCTATGTGCTGAAGTACAGTACCATATCATTAGACCACGCCCAGTGAGTATTTTTAGTGATCCTGTATTAAGCGGCCAGTTCCTCAAGTCCCGAGGGTGGTCGTTATATACAGGTTCGACTATATCTCTATGATGCACACCCGCTATGAAAGACGGAAAGAATAAGACATAGTCTCGTACCTGTATCTAAGTTGTTCAATAGTCTCCAACGAATCGTCCTCGCTGACAGGCATATCAATAGCCACACTCTGAAGATATAGTCAACTATCATCAATATTCATGTATTTTTTTTTCAGTACTTGTGGCAGCAAGGAGGAAAACCTAGAAATTCCTCGGGGATGAATGTCTCCCTTGTTCCCTCGTGGATTCTTAGACAATGATTGGAAGACTGGTCTTATCATAGCTGTTATGCCTCTGGCAGCTGTTCGACCCAGTGTTTGGACATTCCGTCAAAGTACTGATTCAAATTGCTAGTTTGCATGCTTTTTTTTTTTTTTTTTTTACATATATTAAAATTTGATCTCAAGCTCAACAGTGTTATCCTAAAACCACAAGTAAACGAAATCCAATTATGAGCATACAAGTAAGTGACCAACTCCCAACCTCACGGTTACATCTGTGAATAGCGCTATCAAGTAAATTTGCGTCGTGAATCGGGAGTTGAAAAGTTATAGACCGTGATTTCTCTCCATCACCGCTTTCGTTTATCCAAAGTTAATAGAGGGGACTGGTTATGAAGCCCGGCAAGCATCAAAGGAGCAAACAAAGATGCTAAGATCTATGTTGGAGGGTCCACGACCGTGCACAATCTTTTGTTTTGCGCTCATACACTATGCATGAATTACGTAACCAACACGTTTCTATTGGCTAGTTCCTCAGCACGGAGTAAACAACTTTTGTTTTGTGCACGGTCAAGGCCAAAAAAGCGAACAAAAACATACAACAAAGAACTTCGTCGGGTTTCATAACCATTGCCGTCTATTAACTATGATTTATCTCAAGTTTCAAGCTTCTTTGTCGACAGTCCCTAACTAAGAAAACAGACTTCTCTCTGCATTTCACAATATTAACTATACTTGTACGACTTACCTGGTTCCCTTGTTCCCCGAGCCGTCTCAACGCCTCGTCTCGTTCCGTTCTTGCAGCATCAAGATCGTTTCGCCAGCCTTTACCAATATGTTCAAACTGAATTTTCGCTTTTGTCAGAGCAGACTGCTTCTCAATTAAGGACTGCTGAAGGTCCCTGTTCTGATTAAGAGTTTCTTCAAGTTTCTGTGTGAGATTTTCCTTCTCAAGAAGTGACTTCTCCAATTCTCCTCTCAGAGACTCGGTCACTTCGTGAAACTTATTGTACAATTTGTCTTTTTCCATCCTGCAGTCCTGGCATTCCTTTCTCAGCCACTTAACTTCGTTCTTTAACTTACTCACAACGTCATCCCCGTCTACTTGATCCTCTTCAGAACGTTGCAGTTTTTCTTTGGTCACGTCTGAGCTTTCTCTGAGTTTTGCCACTAAAGAATCTTTGTCTTTCACAAGACTCTCAACTTCTACTCGTTGATTGTGAATGAACCTTTCCTTTTCGAGATTTTGCTCCCTGCTCTGCTCGAGATCAAGCTTAAAGGAAGCCAAGATTTGATCATAGTCCTTTTTCAGTTTTAATCGCAGATTTTCTTTCTCTTTCATCGTCATATATAAGTCTTGTCGAAGTTTGTTGTTACCAGTCTCCAGCAGTTCATAGTTGGCTTGAAGTTCTTCATATAGTTTCTCCTCATCAGATTTATTCCGCACACCAGTCCTGAACTGACTGAGCTCTTCGTTCAATTTGTCTATGATTTGACGCTTTTCGGCAAGTTCGCCTTCTAGCTGTTCCTTCTGTAACCAAAACAAAGAAGAAGAAGAAAAAAAAAAGATGAAACACTTCACAACCTCAGCTCTTTGTCACATGGAACGAAGATAATATACGACAGGGTGTAAAGAAAAAGATTTTCCAGGTTGCCCTTTATATTAACAACAAGGTAGAGGCAGCGCAAGTGCTAGCCCAGTGCCCTTTTAAATGTCCTAACTTCAACTGCCAAGTAAAAGGTAAAACAAATATATAATAATTTGCCTCCTGAGAATCCTATAATAGCTCTTTGGAACAACGAAATTCAAAATGGCCGCCGTATTGGTGAAAAGGTATATTGCGCTTGGGGATAGAGTGACAGATAAAATCCGCTGAACCAACTGGAAAATTCAGCAGCCCCAGGGTATCAGACAAGATTTTCATCGCAATCCTAATATAAACATGCTCACAATGAATTGTTCTAGTTATTCTATCCTTATGGACTGCATCCGTACTGGACTTTGCTTTGCAAAGGTTAACCATACGTAGTAATTACTAAAGTCAAAAATTATTCAAGTCAATATAACAATTCTAGATCTAGTGTCTTCAGCATTTATAAGAAAAATTCAATTAAATACATCAAGAAAATTTACATTTGAAGATCAAGACCTTCAATGTCAAAATCTGCCTGGCTGACTTTAAATTAAACAATTAGATTATGAGCTCGAGATTTCTTTCGCGTTTCTATCGTGCGATAGAAATCTCGAGCGAATAATCTTATTGTTTTAGTACAAATCTACTAGCCGTTCAAAACTTAATCTAAATCCTCTTCACAGACACTTCGAAAACGCCAAGTGGCCGTCATTTTGTTAACAAGGGCACACTGCTGTGCTACTCACTATCTGTTACAGAAAAGATAGTGAGTAGCGTAGCCAATCAGAGAACGACATTCGTGATAGAACGCTAGTAGATTTATACTAATAGTAAGTAGATCAAGGGTTAAAATTCTGATCGAAGATGGTAAACTAACGCACAAACCTGTCGAGCATAATCCTCCTTTACGGAAGCGAGCTGTTCTTCAAGCTTCTCATATTCTGTGGCTTTCTCCATTAAGGTAGCATCGAAATGAGCTTGCAAGTCCCGTCTAGTTTCTTCACCTTCTGCTACAATTCGGTCTATCTCACTGCTAAACTTCTCGGCCGAATTAGCATGTTCTGCTGTTAACCTCTCGACTTTCAGCTGTAATTCCTGAAGTTGTTGTCCTTTTTCTTCCAAGTCCTCTGCAGATTATACAAATATAGTGTTACTTAAGTTGCACTCAGTTCAAACAAGTAGACACGTTCTTTGCCGGCAGGCGGCAAAAACTAACAATTCTACCGCTTAAGATGGAAATTAAGGCAATGGCAAAAAAATTCGCTACTGAGACATGTAACCATATGAGGCAATTTTCTTTAAACATCTGGGGCACCCGTTGACGTGCAACTGAATTGACATGATTAAAAATCATGTGGTTTAGAATGGATATACGATCACGTGGCCGTTTCCTTTCCTGCGGCTAAGTTTATTTAAAAATGGAATGTTCGTATCAAGAAAACCGGCTCAACATTGATAACAATAGGCATTGTTAGAGTGGTTTTCAATTCAGTGTCATAGAACCAAAACCAAAGTAATTACTCCAGCCAATCACAAAGGTCACAGACAATACAGTGAAACAATCAAAACTCGAAGTAATCACAGGTAGCTGACGCAAAGCGCGCGAAAATGCATGCGAACGCGTCACAATTGGTTTTTGTTGTACTTCTGATTGGATGAAAAAAGGCGCGAGTTTTTTAAGCCCATCGTGTGGTATAGAAAGTGCAAAATCAATCACTTTTCGACACTCAAATGAAAACCACTCTATAAGACCTAAAATTGGTCTTATCTGGCCATTTTGAAACAATGGCAGTATGAGCTTCTAAATTGCCCGCGGGAGTCTTTAAAATGTCCGATTACCATACGAGCGCGAAATTTAAACGATCAGAGAGACTGAATGGAAGACAAACTCTCCCAAGGGGAGATGGTACTGGTTTAACCCTGTCGGTGCAAATAATTGCGATGGGATGGCGGTTGTACACATGTATTTAAAAGTGAAAGTAAAAGCTGCCGACAAGTAAGGCATGGTTTTGCTTTAAAATTGCTCTAACCTGGTAAACTCACCACGCGTGGGAGTGAAAGTGAAGTTTGTATCTGGCTAGATTGCGAACAGGCTCTCTTTTGCTCTAAAACCCATAAGATCAGTGTAGGATGAACGCGAAAATAGCGAGCGCGATTATCGAGCGGCAAAGCTGCTCGCTTCGCGCTTCCGCTTTTTCCGCGTTCGACCCACGGATTGAAAAGCAGGAGAGACTGCTTTCATTCGAGCATTCGGCCAGAGATTAATAGCTCTTAACAACGCTTCGAAGCTCTCGCATCTTTCCAATTGATGTCCACAGTGATTTCCAGCGGAAAGAAATCAGGGAACAAATATCCCACTAATTAAAATTATAGACGCGATGTTCTGCGTAGCATTTCTCCGCTCTTTAATAATTTTCGCTTTACTCTCAGAGTATTTTTTGTGAATCACGACTCCACCGTTCTAGATTTGTTTACCAAAATTGAGTTCATTCAAGTGCAGCTTAATTGTTGTGCCGAAAGTTTTCCGAACAACGACGTCGATTTTGGCTTGGCTTCGGACGAAGTCCCTCAGGGCTACCAAGAACAAAAGGCTATTCATTTTTGCTCACAGTGAAATGTTGAGCCGGAACAATAGACCATTTCTTGATACGTTTACACACACGATTTTAGTTTCGCCACCTGTAAAATAGCTATCACTTTACATTTTAAGATTAAATTAACTGTGGCGCTATCAAAACTCAAGTCCTTGCTGCTGACAACGCCAAATTCCTAGACTCATCAAACCAGAGCCTTGAAGGCATTAAATTTACCTTCTCTATCTTGCACAACTTCATCAAGACCCATGACCCTCTCTTCTAGCTCTTCTTTTTCGTCGGTGAGGTGTTGTAAGATTTCCTGCAATTTCTCAATGTCTCTGTCTTTGCCTGACAAGGAGAGGGATTCCATTTCCTCTGTACCAACGCAAACATCTTTACGTTCCACTTCTGACGACGTTGAGGACTGGTCAAGTCGTTTAAGCTTCACTTGAAACTCGTAAGCAATCTCATCAGCAGTTGCTTTGCCCTGTAAAGCCCGCTGTAAGTCCTCACTGAGTCCAGACACGATGTGGTCAAAGTCGGTTCTAAGTTTATCTATGTCCTCTTTCCCTTGCTCTAGTGTGTGTACCCGTGATTTCAACTGCTCCACTTCAGTATGAGCTAAGAGTAGAGCCTCCTCCAGATTGTTTACGTGGTTTTGTTGTTCGGATATGACACTCTCGTAACTACCTTTCAGACGACTCAATTCTTCCGTGAACAGTTCTCTCTGATTTGACAATTCCACGTGTAGCTGTGCAATCTGTTGGTCTTTGCTATCAAGTAATGGCTGCTCGCCTTGAAGTAGCTGTTCTGTCTGTAGCTTTTCCTGTTGCAGTTCCCTCTCAGCTTTTACCTTCTGTAGCTGCAGCTGTTCCAGGAGCGCTTTCAGATTCTGGTTTTCTTCTCTGTTTTCGACAAGCTTCTGTATGACTTCATCCTTTTCCTCACTCAGATATTGCAGGTGCTCCCCAAGGCTAGATATCTCAGCATCTCTCTCTAAAAGAACCTTTTCGAACTGCTCCACCAGGCTACTGCTTTCTTCCTTCTCCGCGAGTAACGTCTGTATTTGTTCCCTGAGTTCGTTGAGGATTCTTTCCTTTTCTCTGACGAAAGCATCTAACTCAATTCTTAACTCCTGCACTGCCTTTTCACTTTCTAATTTCTCTTGCCGCACTTTGTTCAGCTCGGCCACGATCTCCTCCTTGCTACTTTCTTGGCCAGCTTCTGATTTCGCATCTTTTGTTTTCCTCATCAGTGTCCTCAACTTTGCCTTCAAACGTTCGTTGACTGACTTGACCTTCTCTAATTCAGATTGCGCACTGGACAGGTCATCTTTGACTTTCTCAATATTTTCACTGTCACAGAACATGGACTGTACAGGTGGCGACTCCAAGAGAGCTTCATTATCATACACAGCAGCCTGAATTCCCTCATTCTCTGGAGACTGAATAAGAACCTCCGAAATCATCTTTTCCCGATCACCTTCTTTCTCGTCCTTTCTGATTTTGTTGCTTGGCTCTTCTCGTTCTTCAAGGAGTCTATTTCTCTCCTCTAAATTTATCTTTTCCCTGTTAAGGGATTCTAAAACGTCCCTTAAGTTATCGACTTCGTTCTGGGTTGCCTGGAGTTTTTCCGAGACGTCCTCTTTACCCTCCAAGTCTGCCGTATCAACTGCTACGTCGCTGAACCTTGTTTCAACCTTGTCTGATACTTTCTCCAAGCGTTTCAGTTGCACTTGAAATTCATGTGCAATTTGATCAGCGGCCGCTTTACCTTCGAGAGCATGTTGAAGATCCTCGCGGAGTCCCCCGACGATATGATCAAAGTTCATCTTAAGCTTGGCTATATCTTCTTTTTCCTTTTTCAACTCTCGTAATTGGCCCTTAAACTGCTCCATCTCTTTGTTGGCAGACAAAAGTTCCCGTTCCAATTGATCGGCGTGGCTTTGGATTTCAAATATCACCCCTTTATGCTGGACTGCTGTAGCGTCTAATTCTGTTTTGTAATCATCTGTCAAGTCCTCTAGCTGATTCTGGAGATTGGAAATCGTACTTTCTCTCTTGAAAACATCATCCGCAAGACCCTCCATCTCCTGTTTCAATCGACTACACTCCCTTTCGATCTCGGTCTTTTGCAAAACGAGTTCTTGCTCCTGGACATGCAGATTAGCATTTCCTTCCCTCAGTTCTTGAACGATCTTCCAAGCTTCATCGTTTTCACTTTGAAGGTCTCGGACATCGTCCCTCATCTCTTGCAGCTCGTTATCTTTCTGGACAATCTGCTGTTCACAATGTTCGACTAGACTATTGCTGTTCCCTTTCTCTGTCACCAACTGGTCGATCTTACTTTTTAACTCGTTCACGATGCTCTCCTTTTGTCGAACAAATGCATCTAGCTCCACTCGCAGTTGCTGGCAGGCCTTTTCACTGTCAAGCTTCCCTTGACGAACCTGTTGAAGTTCCGCCTGTAGCTCGTCACGCACACTGCTGTCTTCATCTTCCGAGTTGGATTTAACTCTCTTCTTTTTGACGACGGCTCTCAACTTCGCCTTTAACTTGTCATTAAGTGCTTTGATCCTCTGCATTTCATTCTTCATATTTTCAAGTTCTACTTCGGTTTCACTGGCTGGTGTCGCTGTAACCTGGTTATCCACAGAGGACTGTAAAATAACTTCTTCCACTACCTTTCCCACGTCACCTCTCTCTCTCTTCAAGTCAACCTCGAGACTAGAAATGGGCTGTTTGTTACTTTTCTCTTCAAGCGAAAGCTCCAGATCTTTCATTTTATCTTGTAAGTCATCTCGTTCTTTTAACACAACTTCAAGGGCAGATTTCAAGTCGATCACCTCGCGCTGTGTTGCTTCAAGCATTTCTGTAACCTTGTTTTCTTCAAGCAAACGATTACCATCGGCTCCCATCGAAAATGCCCCTGGCGTTGACTTTTTTAAGTCCTCGAGCTGAACTTGGAACTCATGAGCTAATTCATCTGCTGCTTTTTTGCCATCTAGTGCTTGCTGAAGGTCCTCACGCAAACCTGACATGATGTGGTCAAAGTTGCTTTGTAGCTTGTTAATATCCTGCTTTTCCTGAGTTGCGACTTGAAGCTGGGCATTTATTTCATCGATATGTGAATTTGCTCGTGCTAGCTCCGCTTCCAGTCCTTCCTCTTCTTGCAGCCGTTTTCCAAGCTCCATTTGAACCTCTTGTAGCTGGTTCTTAATTTCACTGTTGCGTGCATCAAGCACTTGGATACGATCTTGTAACGTTCTCTCATTGCTTTGCAACTGTAAAATACTCTCATCCGTTTTTCTCTGTTTTTCCTCCATAAGAATTTCAAGATCGCTAATTTTACGGTCCTTCTCTTCAATAACTCGGTAAAAGTCTTGTTTAACTTGTTCCAGTTCAGATGTTGTTTTCAGAAGCTCAGTTTCGATGAAATCTTTCTGCTCAGCGACCATTTCAATATTTTTTTGCAGCTCTGTATTATCCTTCCTTAGTTCCGCGTTTGATTCATCCACTTCCCTTTGTTTCTCAGCCAACACTTCTTTTAAGCCTTGAATTACTCGTTCATACTCCTCTTTTGTGTTCTCTAACTGATGCTCTAATTCAGAGTATTCTTGGTTTCTCTCATTAATAAGTGATTGGTTCGTTTTTTCGAGGGCTTCCAAGGCAGTCTTTGCATCATCGGCATCTTGAGCCACGGATTGTAACTGGGAATTTATTGCTGTTAGTTGTTCTGCGGCTTTCTTTAGTTCCGCGTTTTCTGAACTCAAAGACTGAATTTGCTCGGTTAAATCACGGACATTGGAATCCTTGTCTAAGAGTTGTTTTTCGTGCTCTCCAACCACTCTGATAGCATCCTCATTTTCCTGTGACACTTGCTGTATTTTGGATTTAAGAGCTGCCACAATCATTTCTTTCTCTTTGACGAAATTATCAAGTTCTTCACGAAGCTCTTGTACCTTCCTGTCACCATCCAGTTTTGCTGCTCGAGATCTTTCGAGTTCTGCTCTCGTTTCACTGGATGTTTCTTCTTCTCTTGAATCGGATTTTGTTCTTTTTTTCCTTGACGCTACCTTGAGCTCGCTACTCAGGGTTTCATTGAGTTCAGAGGCCTTCTTCAGCTCACTTTGCAACCAGAGAACATCGTTTGGCATGCCAGTCAACTCTACCCCCTTATCGTCTCCTCCCTCTTTATTATCTATCCCAGCCTGTTCAACGTCGGCTTTGTCAGCATCATCTCCTTTTCCTTCATGTTTAAGCATTTCTAAACTCTTCTGAAGCTCCTCCTTTTCCTTCTGCACAGTTTCCAGAGTTTCCTTCAACAATTCAACTTCTTCCTGGGTAGCCTTAAGCTGAACATCTACTTCTGTTTTGTCCGCTTCTGTGGTACCAACTGCCACTTCTTCCAGCTGGACACTACTCTGTTCCACTGACCTCTCGTTTCTCTTCAGCTGGACACGGAATTCGTGAGCAATTTGATCAGCAGCTGCTTTTTCATCAAGCGCCTGCTGTAGATCTTCACGAAGACTTGACACAATATGATCAAAGTCGACTTTGAGCTTGTTGAGTTCTTCTAACGACTGCCGGGCCTCGTGAAGCTGCTTTGTAAGTTGACCGATTTCCATCTTAGCACTGGCAAGGTCGCGTTGAAAGTTTTCAACTTCTGCCTCTTTGTTACCAAGCACTTGTTCATATCCATCTTTACACGTCTCTAGTTCCTGCACATAATCGAGCTTTTCTTGTTCGAGAGTTTTCTCAAGTTGTTCAATGCTATCATCTTTGTCTTTGCAAAGGAGTTGATAGCGATTTTTGAGGTCTTGTATCTCATCATCTCTCTGTGATAAAAACTTCTCATACTCTTCGAGAAGACTTTCATTTCTCGCTTTTTCATCTAAAAGCAGCTGGGCCTTGATTTTCAGATCTCCAATGACGCCATCTTTGTGACGAACGATTCCATCTAATTCTTCCCGCATCTCATAGGCTGACTTTTCCAAGTTCAGCTTCTCTTGACGAACTTTTTCAATATCTGCCATTAGCTCCTTGGAATCATGTTCACTCACAGACTCCGATTTCACCTTTTCCTTTTTGATCTGTACTCTCAGTTTTGCTTTGAGTTTCTCATTTACAGCTTTGACTTTGGAGAGTTCTGCATGGATCTCGGACATCTCAGTTCTGACTTTTTCAAGCTCTTCATTAGCGTCAGGATCCTGAGGAGATGGTACAGATGAAGGATCGAGATGTAGAGGAATGGATTCTTCAACCTTAGGAATTGCTTCCTCTTCCACTAACGGAGGAACGTGGTCAACTAGAGCTGGCGTTGAAGATGACAAATTATCAACAGGGACATCAGGAGGTCTCCCCAAAAACGTAGCTGCAGCTTCACCTCTAGAATTAGCTTCAGTTAATGCAACATTTAGCCTTTCAGTTTCGACTTGCAATTCCAGATTCTTTTCTTTCAACTGCACAAGCTCATCTTCAACAGATACAAGGTGATGTTCCAGTTTGACTTTCTCTTGTGTTAGAGCCTCTAGTTCTCCTTGCAGTGTCGCAATATTCAAATCCTTGTCTTTAAGATTTTCAACCGCTTCACTAAGCTGTTGAACTTCATCAAGGAGGAGCTGTTTCTCTTGCTGTTGGTTTGCCTCTTCTTCTTTCATCATTGCTATTTCGTCATCCCGAACTTTGACCTCTTGTTTTAACTGTTCGATAAGCTTGTCGGCCTCCTCTTTTTGGGAATTCATTGCATTCATACTGGACGTAAAGTCAGCTTCTGAAATGAAAACGAAAACAAAACAGGTTAAGAGTTTTAAAAGCAATTAGCAGATAAAGTAAAAGAAAAATCATCAAGTACATGTATGACAAAAACCGCCACTGGTTAGTTCGGTTATATGTTATATTCTTTATGTATAAAGACAGACACTGGCACAGTTTCGAAATTCAGAGAGGTTTATATCTGCAATCAAGGAGACAAAAATGGTGGCAGGAAAGAGTATGAAATAACTACGTTATTTTAACACAAGGTGTTCCTGTTAAGAGTGGAAAAACTTTTAATGATCTGGTAAGTTTGATTGATTTTCTAACACTAATGATTTATACTTTACAATGAGTTTTGTGTTAACAGTTAAATTCTTCTATTAACTTCGTAAACTTGATTACCTCTAAAATTATAATTTACATACATGTACTAAAGAATATAGTTACGTAAAGAATTCTTGATACGATACTCTTGGCATTTGTTTGACTAAAAACAACACAAGCAAAGAAGCACACGATGCATGGAAATGAACGACAAATAAAAGCGCGCAGAAACAAAAGCAAAGCAACTTACTTACCTCTTGCTAAAATAGGTTTGTTCTCTAGCAAACCTTTTAACTTCAACATGCTATTTATCGAGTGACTTGGACAATCTACAGCAACTGATCAACAAACTGATGGCCAACAAAGTGATACAGACAAAACAGCGATGGTGTATTAAATAATCATACAGCGAACTCCGATTGATCTACGAGAACGAAATCTAGCCAGTTGGATCTTACATCTGCATCGCGACCGACGGCTTATTATTAGCGATACACCGAATAAAGGCGTATATTAATTGTAGTTTGGACGTCTGTGATTCTAGTCGAGCAAAACTAAACTGTGACTCAAATAGAATGTAGCAACACTACTAAATTGTACACAACAGCAAGAATACCAGAAACGATAACAATTTACAAAAACGCAATATGAAAATTGGCGATTGGCGTTGACCACGGAGCAAAGTACAAACTGCCACATTGAGACATTATTATGGTCATTGGAATGCATGGCTGGCAATAGTATAGATGACAATAAACGTAAGAAAACGACAGGCATTTAAGACGTGGCGCATTCAATGAAGTGCATGTAGGACACATTCCTAACACCAATTGCATGGCTAAATTTGAGAACTGCAAGAATAATCAATAGCGAGGAAAGAACGCTTTAGCCTTGTAAAGAGAGACATTGATACATTGCTGTGCTTGTTTAGAGGGTTTCTTCAGAACTCCCCGTTAAGACGTAAAAGCACACGAGGTAGCAAAGTCATTAACCTTAGTGCGATTCCAACCCATACAGATGTGTGTTGATATTTCGTTTTCTAACGACGGGCCAGGCATTTCATGGCAAATAAAGATTGATACGAAAATGTAAGTGATGACGACTTTTGCACGGAATCTCTTGGAGCCTTAACTGTGAAGGCCGATCTCAAAGAGCTTGGTTTGGTCTGGGCAGAAGCTGAATGTATCGCCAGGGATTGCGAGAAGTGGAAAAGTGATGTCCTGATGGCCTGATGTTCCAGCAGGGATGATGAGGATGAGTTAGAGGGAGTAAGTGTCTCAGTGCCTTAACATGACAAAACTAACGTTATCGCCCAGGCACAATCATAGTTTTATTTTTGGTAACCATGTTTCTGGCTGAACAAAATCAAAGCGAATGAAGAAGAAAATAGGCAGAGATAATCAAAACGTTAACCAAAGGTTTTAGGCAATCTGCTTCCTGATTTATTGATTGATAATTTGATATTTATAATTTCACATCGCAATCTAGTGACCCATGAAGGAGTCTGCTTCCAAATTGCTTGTACCATTAAGCAAATGATATGATCAAACCCAAGTTCGTGCAAGCATAGCGAGTAATCTGAAACCATATTCAGATCCATCTTGGGATAAACTAAACTCTCTTGGAATTTTGTTTCAGCAAGCATCAAAATACTGGTTGGATAAATAAAGCAAAAGTCAGATGGACTAAAAACAAAAACAAAAACAAAAACAAAAATAATACAAAATGGATGATACAAAAGGTATCTGACTTCCACCAACCTCGTTCATCAAGTTCTTTCTGTAGTTGCCCTTGCTTCCTTTCTACTTCATTTTTCATGTTCTCTAACTGTCTCGCCAAATTGTTCATCTCGTCTTCTGTGGTATGCAGTTCATGTTCTAACGCTTCTTGCTTTTCCTCTGAGGTTCTGCTGAATTCCTGCGCAGCTTGAAGTTTGTTGTTGACGTTAGTAAGTTCTTCAGCGTGTGCATCCTGATGTAAACAGAGTTGCTTTAAATTAGTAAGAAATCTTACAGGAGATTGAATGGTTTTCTGGTGACCCCCTTTTGCCGAGCTTGGCGATTCGTTGAAACTCTTACAGAGATGATATTGTTTTCGCCGTCTATCCGGTGTATAAATATGACCTTTATAATTTCTAAGCTAAAATCTGGTTTATTTCCCTTGTTGCGACCATACTTGTTGGGTATGTTACTACTCTGACTTTAGCGCAGATGTTGTCCAGAAAAGTATTCTAGAATTCTGTGCCAACATCGGACTATAATTATTTTTCTGCTACAACCCAGTATTTACATGAACGACAGCTTCTTCTCTTATAGAACTTAGTAATGTAAGCAACCCAAGAGTTTGGGTTAAGGTTGCAAGGAAATGTTTAAAAAGGTTTAAAACTATTACCCTCAGTTGCTGGATCTCTGCATCTTTCTCTGTGATAGAGAGCTGTAATTTGGTCATTTCTTCTTTCTTTGCCGCTCGTTCTTCCTTCAGTCTTTTCTTTAGGTTGGCGATTAGTTTGTTCCTATCCCCAATTGACTTGTCAAATTCATCTTGGCCTACACTGGCCTGCAAACGCGAATCCATTTCAACTTTCTCCTGGTCACGCTTTTCTATCTCCAGTTTCAGATTCTGCAATTCTAGTAACGTTTCCTGCCATTTTAGGTCTTTCTGTTCCCCTTCATTCTCTCCATCAATAAGCCTGCTTTTCAGCTCCTCCACTTCTCCATCTTTAGCTCTGAAGCTTTCTCTCACCTGATCCAAAGCCGCCGATAGCTGTTCCGTCGTCTGAGTCTGAAGTTCCAGTTGGGAACCAAGCTCTTGCATTGCTTCTTCCTTCTCCTTCTGGGCATTCGCTAATTTAAGTCTGAACTCAGCCGTGATTTTTTTGTTCAACTCAATCTTCTCTCGTATCTTATCTTTCAACTTAGCAATCACCTCATCCTTGTGACTCTTGGTATCTTCCAACTTCTTGGCAAGTTGTTCCTCGATTTGAGCCTTTTCAAGGTCTTTGACGGTAGAAATTTCTTCCACTTTCTTACTGACGGTTTCTTCCACGTTTTTCCTCACCTCGGCAAGTTCTTTTTCCTTCTGACGTAGCCTGTCTTCCAGCTCATTTGAAGTATCTCCTTGATATTCCACTTTAGGTTTGTTAGCTTCGTCTAGTTCTTGTTTGACTTTGTCCAGTTCCCTTTCTTGTTCCTCGAACTCCTCTTTTAAGTTCTGTAATTCAGATGTGACCCATTCATGTTGTACCATCAATTCATTTAACTTTTCTTTTGTATCTGCAAGCTCGGCCTCAGCTGCAAGTTTTGCATTTCTTGCCTCTTTCACCTCCGATAAAATCTCAGTCATCTCAGCCTCAAAGTTTCCTTTCTCCTGCTCAAGCTGTTGAATTTGATGAACAAGTTGTCTTTCTCGCGATGATAGTTTAGCAATTTCGTCAGCGGATGAACTCAATAAAACTTCTCTGTCTGGTACAGTTTCTGGCACTCGTCCTTCAACAGGGGTTACATTCTCTATCTGTATTACCTCAGTACTCGAAAGCTCGTTTGGTAAGGTTTCTAGCTTCTGTTTGGCGTCAGAAAGCTCGTTCTTTGTATCCTCCAGCTCTGCAGCACATCGCTCTTGCTCAGCGGTTATCATGGTCAACTTCTGACTAACATCAGAAAGGTCTGATTCCAAAGAAGCCTTTTCAGTCAGGATCTGGCTTAGTTTGGTGGAGGTCTCTTCTAAGTCTGCCTCGATAGTTTCTTTCCCCTGCTTCAGCGCAATGGAAGAATCTTTAACCTCCTCCAACTTTCGAGCCAACTCTTCAGTTTGCGACTTGGCCTCTGATAGCTTTTCTATATCTTCATCACGTTCCTTGTTTAACACCATCAGGTTTTGTTCCTGGTCTTTGCAAAGCTGGTTCAGTTGGATGATGGTATCTTGCAACTCTTTGAGCATTTCTTGCTCCTTCCCAATTACAAGCTCCTTTTCCTCTTTTGCCTGGAGTTGTTCTTCAAGAGTAACTTTAGTTTCAGAAACTTCTTGCTCAAGACTACTGATGCGTTCATCCTTCACGTTCAGTTCTGCCTTTGAATTACTTAATTCGTCTCTTAGTGCATCTAGTTCCCAGTCAGCGGCACTTAATTTGTCTTTTAGGTCAAACAATTCTGATTCTAAAGCTGTCTTCTCGTGGGACACTTGTCTCAGTTCAGAAGCGACATCACTAAGATCTGCTCGTAAACTAGCAGTAGTTTCCTCAGCACGACCCATGGACTTTTCCAATTCATTCTCGTGTGCAGTTTGGTCTTCAAGTCTAGTGTTCGCTACTGACAAGGCTTCTTCGCTTGCTGATAATCTATTGCAAAGTTCCACAGCTTCCTGTTCCTTGAGATTCAGCAACTCCTGATGGTGTTTTAGTTTTTCTTGTAGGTCTATGACCTCTGTTTGTGCTGAGTGGAGTTGATTGTTCAGCGATTCTTCCTTGTGAGATGTAAGAAGCTCTTCCTTAACAACTTTGTGCAGTTCAGCAAGTTCATGTTGCAAAGAGCTGAGTTGGCTCTCCTTCATGTCCAACTCAACTTTGGTTCTTTCAATCTCTGATGACAAATTGCCATTTTTCTCTGTAATCTCAGACAATTCGTTCTTTAAAGAATCTCTTTCAGATAAAATATCTCCAAGTTTTACTTGTAGGCCTTCTCTTTCTTGTTCAAACGCACGTTTTGAGTTGTTAAAAGCGTCTTCATTCTCAAGGAGCTTACTCTGATATTCCTCCACCATTGTCTTGTTCAAGGACAGATTTTCAGACACTTGGAACAACTCTCTCTCTTTGGCCGAAAGCTTTTCGTCTAATTCTTCGTTTTTCTTTAATTCTAACCGTTCTAGTTCTTCCTTAGCTGACTTGTTAATTTCTTCGACAACGCCTTTTAAGTGTTCTATAACCTCTTTAAGATCACTAACTTCTTTCTCTTTGAAGTCAAGCTGTCTTTTCAATTCTCCAAGCTCAGTTTTAAACATTTCATTTTCAGACTGAACTTGTGAGATTTCTTTCCTTTCATCCTGAATAGAAGTCTCCATCGACGCCTTCTCTGTTTCAGTTTCATTGATTCGAGAGTTCAGTTCTTCGCGTTCAACTAACATCTGCTGTTTCTCTTGTTCAAGGGAATCTAATTGTCGTCGAAGCTCAATGACTTCTGAATTCAAACTTTCCTTTTCATTTCTAGCCATTCGCAAAGCTTCCTCGACTTTCCCAAGCGTGTTTTCCAATTCTCGTATCTCCTCGTTTTTAGCTTGAAGTTGATTCTTGTGCTCGATCAATTGCGCTAAACACGTTTCCATAGCTTCTTTTTCTTCCAAGAAAAGTTCCTTCTCTTTCTTCAGCTCCTCTAATTCCTCTTTACGGTTGTCATTCTCGGCAGACACTGCCTCAAAAGATTTCTTTAAAGCCTGCGCTTTCTTCTTCAAAGCAGCAAACTTACTATCTCTAGCTGCAAGCTGGCTTCGTAGTTCGTCAAGTTGGGCATTTGTCTCATTCAGGCTTGTGTCGAGGTTTTCAACACTAACGCTCTTGTCGTCTAAAGACGTTTGCAGTATAAGAAGTTCTTCCTCTTTGTTGGAAAGATGCAAACGAAGGTCGCCTATTTCTGCACGCAATTCTCCATATTTGGAATCAAAGTCGATGTTTTGTTCATTCAAATTTGCCTTTAAGGAGTTCACTTCGTCGTCTTTCTCGTGGAGTCTCTGTGTTAACTCGTTTACTAAAGAATTTGTCTCAGACCGACGTCCTTCAAGCTGTTCAACGCTAACTTTTTGCTCGGCAAAACTAGCCTGCAGTTGGCTTAGTTCTTCCTCTTTACTCTTAAGTACTTCCAAAAGCCGATTTACTTGGGAAGAGTTTTCAGCATCGCTTGTTCTTGCTTGTTCTAAATGTTCACCTTGCTCGTCTACCATTGCTTGGAACTTGACAATTTCAGCTTCTTTAACCCCAAGCAAATCTTGCAATTCTTTCACTTGCGCTTCCATTTCGTTGTAGCTAACATTCACCTGTTCAAGACTTGAAGTTTTCTTTTCCAAGCTCGACTGTAACATGCCAAGCTCGTCATCCTTGGCTAAGAGTACTTTCTGTAGTTCTGTAACTTGGAAACTTGCCTCTTCAAACATGGCGCTGAGCTGTTCATAACTCGACTTCTGCTCTTCAAGTTTAGTTTTAAGTGTAATCAATTCGTCTTCTTTCTCTTTCATACTTTCGTTAAGTTCTTTGACTTTCAATGTGGCCTCATCGTAACTGGCGTTAACTTCATTTAGGCTAGATACATACTCTTCTATTTCAGCTTGCAGGGAAGTATTCTCTTTCTTCTTGCTTGCGATGGTTTCTTCCAGCCTGGACATTTCAGAACTATATCGAGATTCAAGATGGCTATATCGTGTCGCTTCCTCTTCACAACGGACTCGAAGGGCATCGATTTCACTTTCTTTGGTGGTTAGAGTATTAGTCAATTCTTGTAAATGAACGCTCTGTTCAGTCAATCGAGATGTCAATTCTTCAAAATTTGAACCTTGGTCTTCCATGCTGGTTCGGAGCACATTTAATTCTGTCTCTTTTGCTGTAAGTACATCATGTAGATCTTTTATCTGGGAACTTGCATCTGAGAAGCTTGACTTCAAGTCGTCATTCTCCAGACCGAGCGCTTCGAGATCGTTCTTGAGTGACGTAATTTCTTCATCTTTTTTCGCTACATCTTCTTCAAGATCCCTTACCTGGCAATTCGCCATATTCAAACTCGAGCTTAGGTCGTGATAAACTTTCTCCTGCTCTTCCAGGTTGTTTTGGAGAGCTGTTAAATCCTTGTCCTTTCCACTAAGCAATTCTTGTAGTTGATTCACCTTGGCATCAGAGTCTGAAGAACGCAAACTAAGTTCCTTCAGTCTCGCTTCCTTTTCTTCCAAGTCTGCCTGAAGTGTAGCGATCTCTTGATTTTTTTCGATCAAGTAATCTTGCAGGTTCTTCATCTGCTTATCTGACTCGGCCGAGTTTTGGTTCAGTTGTTCATACTGCAAACCTTGCTCTTGTAAAGTGGTTTTCAGCGTTTTCAACTCCACATCCTTTGCAGTGCAATTTCCTTCAAGTTGTCTTGCTGTCGCAGTTGACTCTTCATATCTTGTGCTCAGTTCTTCACAAGCCATTTCCCGTTCTTCTAGCTTTGATTTAAGAACACTGATGTCGTTTTCTTTTACAACGAGTGTTTGTCGTAAGTCTTGAAGCTGGGAGGTTGTTTCTGACAAGGCCTCCTTCATCTGCTGATAAGTAAGGGTGTGCTCTTCCATGGTTTGCTTTAAAGCACTTAGCTCAGAATCCTTTGTCTGTAAAATTTCTTCCAGGCCTTTAACTTGGGAGCTTGACTCGATGAAACTGGTGCTCAAGTGTTCAAAACTACTGTCTTTCTCATCAAAAGCTGCTCTGAGCTGCACAATTTCGACTTCTTTTTCTTCAACAGCTTCTTGAAGTCTCTGAATCTTTGCAACATACTCGCCATGCGTGGCACGCAATGACTCAAACTCGGAGATCTGTTGGTCTCTGGTATCTTGCAACATTTCCACCTCTGTCTGCTTGTTTGCTAGGAGTACCTGCAATTCATTAACCGTCGAACACACATCCGTGTAACTTCCTTTGAGCTGCTCCAGACTTGACTCTTGCTCACTTAGTTCTTTCTTCAGCCTCTCAACCTCAGTCTCTTTACTGGTCAGTTGTTCTTGAAGCTGCTGCACTTGAGTGCTTGTTTCGCTGAAGCTCGCATTCAACAGCTCAAAACCAGAGCTATTTTCCATCAGAGCCTGCTGCAGATTGCTAATTTCCTTATCCTTGTCTTCACGGATCTTCTCTTGATATTGGCGGCTTTGCTGGAGCTGGAGCTCAAGGGATTCTACAGTAGACCTGCTCTGTTCAATTTCCGCTTTCAGATTTTCCACATTTTCAGACTGTTTTGTGCATTGTTCTTTACTCGCTTCAAGTTGGCTCTGAAGTCCTAAAGGAGGGAAATTTTAGCTCATTAGGATCTGCCCGTTGGCAACCGAACCACCAAATTTGAAATCACAACGCCAAAAGATCGATCGATAAATCAATTGAACAATCAAAAACAGATTTCCAAAACTGAGGGGAAGCTAAATTAGATTCACTCCTGAAGTTCGTGTTCGTAATTAACGTAAACACTGAAATACAGAGCAACACAGGATAATTCCTTCACCCTTAGACAGGAATGGGAAATATTCTTTTGAATTTGTCACAAAGAGTTAAGAAGACCGTCAACTAGTACTCCTTGCTTACCCATCAGTTTCTCCCTCTCCTCTGTTATCAGTTTCCTCAGAGAATCAACTTCGGCGCTCAACTCGTTCTGCAAAGAAACGTATGCACTGTTAATATTACACTTCTGCGTAAAACTGTAGAAGAGTACTTTAACAAATGGGAAGAGAGGGATAACACAGCCTACAGTATATCTCAAGCTGGCTTAATACTTTAAGCACAGACGTAATTTTTTTGGACCATGAAGTCAACCAGATAAGATCTTTAGTCGCTTTTCGTGGGTTTTCACGCCCAACTAATGAGTTGGAAAGAAGAGAAAGTTCACTGAACCGCTCTTCAAAAACGAGTGTTTCCTATTTATTGTTGGATGCTCAACCACACTGAATTTATTCAGAGAAAATACCTACAATATAAATATATAAGGATGAAATACATTCTCAAGCTCTACAAATAATTTAATAACACTTGTCCACACTACGCCGGCGGAATTTGAAAACGCAGCTTATTTTCTCCCGTTAGACCTTCCCTCCACGCTATTCCGTCACGAAAACGGCTTTTCGAAAACGCTCTTCAAACCGGAGGAATTTAAAAACGTCGGCTTTACGTTTTAGTACAGACGAGAAACATTTTTAAAGTGGAGATTTTCAAAAGAGATGGCCTCACGATAATCAGATGTATTCCCTGCTCGAGTTTTCCTCCAACACAAATCCAAAATGACCGGTGACTGTTGCGTTTTCAAATTTCTCTGGTGTACTGTAGACGGACTTTTTATGCGTTTTCAGAGTGAAACCTCTGTTTTTAAATTCCTCCAACGAAGTGTGAACTGGGCCTAAAGGTGTCTTGCCTTTGATAGTAACTCTATTTCCATGTCAACTGCAAGCTCGAAAGACGTCTCTAAGTCCAACTTCAAGTTGGAGATCATGATTCAGAAATAGTAAAATTATATCGTGAAATTATATCCTTGAAATACTGCTACTGCCTTAAACATATCAACATATTAAGTTCAAATATTAATACTTGAACTTCTAAGAAAACGGCATTTCTTTTTAGTAGGAGGGGCTTCTTGTCACGATTGCACAGACTGAACAAAGACCTTATCATTGTACATATACTTTGCTCTTACATTTAAGTCATAATTCCACCCTAAATAGCTCGTTTCAAAAGCCAGTCAAAATACTTGTTTATTGACTGAAATACTCTAGGCATTGCACTTCTATGGAAAAATAGAAAGGTGAAACAGTATCTCTGCATGTACTATTAGTGCCATTTTTGTCTACCTTTCTGTAATATCATTATTTGAATCTTAAGGATATCGTCATGCATGTAACTATGATTTTAAAATTAATTTTCAGATTACCACTTGACACTTAAACTTTGTAGCACATATGATTACTGTACATACAAAATATCCTGCAATTTGATTACCGCTATTCTTAAAAGTTTATCTCTACAGTATAATAATCTAAGGGTGAAGGTTAAAATAATGCTAACAGTTTATTGGATACGTGAAGGTTAAATTGATTGCATCAGAGATTTTTCCCTCATTCTTTCTTCCACGAAACTAATTAAGCAAGTCTCTAGGAACAGGGAAATGCTGTATAGTAATTCTAACCATTAGAGCACCGCGTTTTGAAGAAATAAAAAAAGATCAGGTTATTCACCTCATCATCGAGGTCCATAACATACACTTCTTTTTGTTGTAGCATTGTTTTAAACAGTTGAAGATTCTGTTGTTGTTGTGCCACTTTAGTCTCCAGATAAGTAATGCGTTCATCTTTGTCAAACAGCTGAAACGTGGGATGTTTTGGATCAGAAATTTCTAGAACTCTTTGGTTTCTAAGACAATAACACGACTTTTTTGGCAGCTAAAAACTGTTTAAGGTTAAGTGTTTTGGGGTCCAAAACATATTGTTGGCCAGGTGTCTTGACAACAATCACATGGCATTACATATTATTTGCGTATCAAGTAATAAAATAAAAACAAACCTATCTACGGTGTACAAGTACATTAATTCGTACTGTAAATAATTCTATACATGTATGCAAAATTTGCTTTTTCTACTAACTTTGTATTACAGCCTACACTTGATTACAAGATCTGGGTAGCAAGGGCTTGGTCCAGCAGTAAAAAAACTCTTTAAGCCTAGAAAGGGTCTATTGTAAGTATGTAACAAGGGGTTCTAACTGCAGATACACTTGATGCCTTTAAAAAAACCAATGATATTGCATTTGATGTTGTGAACAGCTCATGATGTACAACGGCGTAGTCCTACAGCAGCTACATTTGGTCTTACACAAGAACTGTTTAACATCACAATATCTACCTTCTCGTCCAGTGGACCTTGTTTCATCTGTTCCCTCAGATTTGCCACCGCTGACCGCTCCAGATCGAGCGTGGCTCTGAAAACAAAAAAATACATATTTCTTAACAAGGTAAAGCTGTGGTGTGCTACCTCACCTTTTTGAGTGTTTTCATACATGTAACTTGACAGAAACAGAAAACTTGAAAAAACTTTTACAAACACAGAGAGAACACATTTGTTGTGAGTACAAAATTGACAGTTCTCTTAGTTTGCTCATATGATCTAAACAACAACAACAACAACAACAACAACAATAACATCTTTATTTCTAAATATAATATAAATAACATAGCATTTTTAGTTTATTTACATGTAATACGTACAATACTACGTTTTGGATTAGGTAATTGTTACAATCTTGTTTGAAGCTAAATCAACCATTAGATTTTCGAGTTTGCCTCCAGCCTTGTACAGCACTGCTGGATGCTCAGAAGCACACACCATATAAAATTATATTATTATTGTTATATTATTATTATAATTGTTTTGTGTAAATTGCATGAGGTTCGTGCATGTTTCTATGAGTTATGAAGATAAATCATTGATCACTTTCAATGTGTGCTGTGGCTTTACCTAAGAGTTTCATTTTCTTCTTGAAGAGCTTCCACATGCATCATCAGAGACTCTTCCGCCATGTGTTTGGCATGCTCTGCATCTTCATCTGAACTAATTTCCTCCGTCTTTTTTTGCAGGCGTTCTTTCTCTGCTTCCAACATTTCTTCCAGCTCCTCCACTTTGTTTTGCAAAGAGTCACGTTCCTACAGAAAGAAAAATGCGTTAATGACATAGAGATTATTACATGGCCCCACGGAGATACAAAATTTCTCTTCAAGTGTGAGCGCAGCGAACGAGTGAAATATTTTTGAACATGAGAAGAAAATTTCGTATCTCCAAGCGACCATGTAATTTTCTTTCTATCATATAAAATTCTGATAGTACATAACGATGTTTTTGGCGATGTTCCGAAGATTTCCGACCAATTTCCGAAGATTTCCGAAGATTGTCCCAAAGTTGTCTGAAGGTTAGACGAACCATTCCGAACATTTTCCAAAGATAACCGAAGATTGCCGAAGACTTCCAAAGAAGATCTGAAGATTTGGTGTATATATAAAATGCATTATATTGAAAATGACACCATTCATTTGTCTCTCAGCAACAACATACCTTGGTGATGAGATCCAGTCTCCTTTCCATGCAGTACCTCTCTTCCTCAAGTATTTTCATAACATTGACATAACCTGATTCTTCTGAGTTGGAGCCGACGATTGTGGATACAGTACCACTGCCTTCCAGTTCTTCTTCAGGCTGATCATCTTCCTCTGCTGAGATACATTAAATTTAATTTGGATTTAATGGGGTCTGGAGACTACATAAATAATAATAATAATAATAATAATAATAATAATAATAATAATAATAATAATAATAATGAGATGATGATGATGATGATGATGATGATGAAAATGATAAGTAATAGTAATTGGCCTTTGTGGAGTATAATTCAGGGAGTAATTGCACAAGTAATTTCAAAATCAGATGAGCATGAAGCACAATGCCGATTTGAATTACAAGCATGATTACTCCCTGAATTGTACGGCACAAGGTGCAATTACTAATTAATCGTATCTACAACAATTTTTGGAATTAAAAATGTCTTTTGGGAACTTTTTTTGAGCGAAAATGTCTGTAACGCTTTTCATAAGTTTTGAAAATCCTAGGAAAGAGTGCGAAGGAAGCCATTAAAGTACACGTAATTGACATGCAAATCATGTGGGTATCCAATTACAGGTATCCAATTACGAAAAGTTCAAATTGGATACCTGTAATTGGACACCCATGTGATTGCGCATAGATTACGCGACAAATAGGCATGTGGAGAACCAATCATGATCGAGAATTTTGTTATAGATACAATTATAATAATACTTTTTATAGTACAACTTTTCATAAACTGATCAAGTGTGCTTTACATCATCAAAAATTAAAACTAGTCCTAAAAGATGTATATTTACAATGGTTGCTAAAAATTACAAAGCATGTTAAAATAGACACAAATTGAGTAAAAACTACATTACAAAGTTTGTGATTCAAGCTGTACAATTACAAACAGCACATGTATCCAGTTGTACTGATAACACCTGTGTGATGAGCAGAGCAAAACTTAGCCTGTGAGGGTACTTGAAGTGTGAACACAGACAGATTTTTAGCTTTTGTTTCAGTGGCGTGAAACAAAAGTTGGAAATCCATATCTGTGTTTGCAGGTTCGGAAAAAATGAGAGGGTTAATATTGTTATGTACAGCTCTACATTGTAGATGTACCTTGCTCTAGCGAAGCCTTCTTTTCAACGGTAGCCAGTTTTCCTTTTTTATCAGTTGATCTCACAAACTCTTCCAATGCTTGTTCTAGTTCCAAGCGTTTTGATTCAGCTCCTTCTCGTTCTTCTTCAATCTGCGCTATTTTCATTTGTACTGCTAACTTTTCCTCTCTTTCATGCAACAGATGCATTTCAACCTAAATCATAAATAAAACAGTTTCAAAGAAGAAAGTTCTTGTTGTCGCCTTACGGTAACATAAAGACAATGTACTGAAAAAAAAAACAACAACAACAACAAAAAAACAATGTGCTGTGGGTTTTCCCCTTGACAGATGACATGTACATACAATCTTCCACTAGCAGAGTGTTTATACAGTAATAATGTTTATGAGTAGTAACAAGTCTGTACCTATTAGTGATTTACACATAATTACTGGGTAAAAATATTAAGAAGCAGATGTTACATGTAGACCTGGAAATAACAGTCAGCCATCAGACATTGTCTGATCAAATTGGGCAACTGTGTGACTAATTTTACACTTACATGTAAGTCTAATCCTGGGCCCCAATCTGACTTACTAGTCTTGAAGAGTTTTGTCTTGAAGCACATGTCCTTGCACTAACATGTAACGGATGTGTGTTTACAGTGTAATCCCTATTTCTCAAACCCTCGATTTTTTTTAACCCCCCGATAACTTGGACCAAAAATCATTCCCAAATTCTCTAACTTTGAATTTTCACACCAATTTTCATTTTTCTTGAAGGTTGAAAAAACTGTATTCCACTGTAAATGTATCAACAACAATGCTCTGTCTACATGTCAGGGCAGCGAAAAAAGTGAAATCCATTTGCCCAGTGGACCGTCCAGTAAATTTCCATTTTCACTTGCCCCCACCTAAATATTACTTGCTGACATGGTGGCCAGTATGGCAATCAGAGGACAAACATGAACAAAATATGCTTGGATTCCTAACAAATCCATGCTTTCAACTAAATGGTTATAACTAATCTTGCAGTCTTACATTTTGAAATAACTCCTGACTGGAAATTATCATTTATCAAGCCGACATTTTCATTTGATGCGCAAGACTACTGAGGCTAATTTCACTCGTGCACCTGGCCACTGAACTTCTATTTTCACTTGCCCAAGAGCAAAATGTATTTGCCCTAGGCAATTGGACTTGGGTATTTTCTTGCCCTGATGTACATGTACATTTTGTGTATTCCATTGACAGAACAATAATGACCATATCAGAGAACAAAACAGATAACACCAAACGTTCAAATGGATTACAATCACAGGTACACTGCAATTACGAAGTGTTTAACCAAAACAAGGAAGAAGAAGGAAAATGTGTTTTCTTATAACAGCCACTTATTTTACATATACACTAAATGTACCTCTTGCATATCCTTGGCAAGCTTTTCCTTTTCATTCTGAAGGCTGGTCAACTTAGCCTTTGCTTGAAGCTTCAACTTTCCCATTTTGGCACTTAAATCTCGTATCTCTTTTTCCTTTGCCTCAGTCTCTGTTTTTGCCAAAGCAAGTTCCTCAGCAATTTTGTTGTTCTTGTCACGAGAACTTTGCAATTGAGCATGCAGAGCATTTTGGCTATCTTTAAAAGCTTCCTTTTCATCCCTAAATTGCTGTTCCTTCTCTGCATCAAGAAGCAGGAGCCGTTCATTTACATTTTCCTTGGATTCAAGCCCAGCTAGACTTTCTCTCAAGGATGCAATAGTTTCCTCCAAGTTGGCATTCATTTTTGTCTGTGATTCAAGCTTCATTTCCTTCTCGCTTAATTCTGTTTCATGTTTCTCTTTAATCTCTTGAAGCTCCTGATCCTTGGCATGAACAGACTCTTGTAAAGTCTCAACCTCTGCTGTCTTATCTTCAACTAACTTTTCCAATGTTTTAATATGAGTCTGTTTGTCTGCAGCATCCTTTTCAAGTGCACTTATCCTTTGAGAATTGTTGTTGATCATCTCTTCACGCTCCTTTATCTTCTCTTCAAGTAGAGCCACTACTTTGTCACTGTGAGAGGCTGGCGAGGTCCCCTCACTGCTCAAGTTTTTTTCTTGCATGGCTCTTTTAAAGACTTGAATGGCTTCATCCTTGGACTGCAAATAAAGAAATACGTACATGTACCGGTATTAGGAAGCAGCAACTAAAAAGTTGTTTAACTCTCCAAGCACAAGTACAAGGGAGACAATATAATTTCTGTTGGACTCTGCATGTACACTGTAAATCATGCCTAGCTATTTTTGTGTATTGGGTAAGGTCCATGTTAAGTCTACATAAGAGCCAAGATGCCCATCAGGCCGGAGCTTACAACCTGGTTTCTGTAGCACGTAGTGCTAGGAATATTTCTACTCCCCCCTGGATGGGATGCTAGTCCATTACAAGGTTACCCCCAGCATAAAATTCGCCAGTACCCATTTGTACAACTGGGTGGAGAGAGGCACTGTGAGAGTCAAGTGTCTTGCCAAAGAATTACAATCCGGAGTTGAGTGCATGAACTATGCGGCCACAGCTATTTTCGTATACAAGTGTATTTTTTTCATTCATTGTATACATGTAGGAAAGTCAATTAGCTGGAGTCTCCGCATAGGGCTTACAGCTTGCCCACTATACTATTCTCTGGGCACCTTGAACCTTTTGATACCTGAATTTTCCACATTTTGTGCTATGCAACAACTTCTACATAGAGCTCTATACATCGTCAATTATAGTTACTGTATCTGCTTAAGAAAGGGCCACAGTCATTATTAAATTTTTACACACCATGATGCTTCCCTGCAGCAATTATTTTTGGCAGCCCTATTGGCTGTACCCTTTTGAACATACACTGTATTATCAGTGTTTTGAGTAAGCACCATATTACCAGGATTAATTTTTGTACGGTAAATACTGACAGTAAATTTCAAAATAACCTCTATGATTTGCGTTTTCTCCTCTAGCTGCTCTCTAAGGTCATGCTCAGTTGTTTTGTAGGCTTGTTCGGCTTCAGCAAACTTGGCAGTGATAACCTTTTCCTTTTCTTGAACATGATGCTGCAGCTTCTGGACAGTTAGTTTGTGCTGTTCTTCAATTTCTTGAATGTGTTGCAACAATGAAGTTTTCTCTTGCTCTAGCTACAAGTATTGAAAACACAGGATCCATGTATTGTTAAAGTGCCCCTACAGTATGATCACATTCTCGATATCTATTTCTTACATTTTTGTAAACAATAAATTTTTCCTAGATATCTTGCCAAATTTCATTCTATTAAGAACATTAGAGCTCACGTTTTTTGGACCTTTAGTTCCGAGAATTTATGGTTGCCGTTAACTTTCCCTGTTCCAAGTCTTGATTGACACAGGTTGGCACAGAGCCAAAGCTTTTGTTATTCTTTATGCAAGCTGTAGTACTAATTATTACTATAATTTCAACCCGTGTGGTATTTTTGAGAAAATGACGTCATTTACTCCAATTCTCAACCAAAACTTGGAACAAGGAAAATCAATGGCGTCCATAAATTCTCAGAAATACATGTAAAGGTCCCAAAAACATGAGTTCTAATGTTCATAATAGACTGAAATTTGGCAAGATATCTAGGAAAGACCTATTATATACAAAAAATGTAAGAAAATGGATATCGAGAATTTGATCATATACTGTAGGGGCACTTTAAAGAGACACATTCTAAAAGTAGAGTCAATGTTGCTTTTAAGTACAATGGATTCGGGGTCAAGGGCAAATTTAAGAACAAATAGTATCTTACTTTATCCGCAGCAGCAATCATTTCACTTTTCTCTTCCAATTCTTTCTTGAGTGCACGGACTTCCCTTTTAGCTGTCTGAGTTTCATCCACAGATTTCTCAAGTCTACTGTTCATTGCTTCCAGTTGTTCTCTTAAGGTGGCAACAAGTTCATCGGCTCCACTGTCAAGATTCTTCATGGCTTTGAGTTGATCAATAACCTGGTCCCGGCTATCTATCAGCCTTTTCTGAGCATCAAGACGATCCATCAGACCCTCGATGGTTTTGTTTCGATCCTCCAGCAATTGTTTACATTCCTCAAGTTTCAGTTGGAAACCTTCTGCAGTTCTTATCTTGACGGCCAACTCACTCATGACCTTCTCTTCATTGTCCCTTCCTTGCTGTTCAAGCTGTCTGACTGCACTCTCACTCTCCTCCAGACGCTTCTGCAAAGTTTGAATGGTGCTGTCTTTTTCAGCAAGCAAGGCTTGAATCTGTTGAATGTTGCTCTTTTGGGCGGGATTATCCTGCCAAAAGACATCCAATTAGTAACTCCAAGATAAGATAAGACCCTATGAAATCTCTTTTAATTTGCATACTGTAGCTTCATGATCTAAAGAGTGTAAGGAGCTCCTTACTCTTATAGGTGACATATTCCGTTTACTTATTGTTTTCTTTTTCTTTTTCCCTTATTTAAGTTTTACTGCCAAACAAGTTCTTCATGTAAATTCTATTTAATTTCACTCAGCTTGATTAGCTTTTAAATTACTCTGGGTGAATTTACCTAATTTTTTTGTAACTAAGAGTTTTTCTATTTTGGCAATAAAGCGTGTGTTATTGTTGCTGTCCATGATCTGAAAAGTGAGTAAGGTAAGTGGTAAAGTGGAGATTAAAATTTTTTTTTCAAATTCCAGAAATTAGGGACACTTGTTCTGAGGAATAGAATCCAGTTTGGAGTCTGGTATGAATTTTCCTTAATTCTTCTGTGTGTATACATGTATGTGCATTTTACAATTACTGATAAGGGTGGTGGAGTACGTGTATTCTCAGTGACAGTCAGTTGGGCTTGAAAGAAGTACCATCCAGTCATCCGAGACAAGTACAAATATATGTTCACTGAATGCTTGTTTGACGCCAATTTTATGAATACCTGCTTAATACAAGCACTTCATCAGCTGAAAAAGGTGGTTTGAAACCAATTAATGCAAGTACTAGTACAGCAGAATCTTTTTGACTTTTGGGACCTCCAAGGGAAACAAAAATTGGTTTGAAAAACCAGGTACTTTGAGAATCCTGGGTAAAATTGCATTGTTTGCCCGAGGGGAGGGGAGGGGAGGGGAGGGGATGAAAATGGCTTTTAGTTTGAGTTACCAAGAGGTTCAAAGAATCGAGAGCTTGAGAAATCGAGTTTTTACTGAACAAACAAAAGAAGCTGATTACAAATCTTTATTTAATGACCACCAAAATGGTAGTGTTGACATCGCAAGAAAACCAACAGCATTGTCTCTTGAAAACATAACTTTATAGGGACACCTTAATTTAATGGATGCCATATGGTGTCCCTACGCTGCCCTTGGAAACTAGGTTTATAAAACTGTGATTGAGTGTTTTCTCTCTTTCAGTTAACACTTCGTAGTAAAAGTAAAACTGTGTAACATTGTTTGTAAGACAATATGTAATAAACAAGAAGCTTACAGGATCTTGCATCTCTGATAACAGTTCACTGCTCTCTAATGATGGTCCTGCTCTGACATTTTCTCTGAGCTGTACAAGTTCCTCCTAACAAGTAGACGTGAGAACATCAAATTAAGGAGTTTGCTGCAATGTTGCCTACCACGGCTGACATGTTTAGAACTATGAATCAAAAGTCACACATGCACCAGATTATGCAAAGAAGCTTCGAAAATATTAATGACAGGTGTAACTTGTTTCCATTGCATGCTATTGGCCATATTAACTATATGCACATGTAACAGGCATATATACAGGTAGCCTAGATAATACTGTCAGTTATTTCCTTCCCGAAAATCAACTGTGCAAATATTCGTAACGATGTTAGTTTCACAAACAAACTACAAGTTACAAGAATTGAACATCATGTTTGGATAATACACGCAAATGCTTTAATGATTTTCTCAAAAGAGATAAAAAGATCACCTAATTAATCACCGATCGCAGAATAAAACTATTGCCTATATGATTTTCTTCGCAGCGCAATAATTAAGTGTATGTGAAATATTTCCTTGTTCAGTCAATATTGTTTGCTGGACACGAAGAAAAGAAATCAGCATGTAAACACAAATGAAAAACAGCAGTGTACCTCCTTCTGTCGCAACAACTTCTGGAATTCACGATTGATTTCTTCGTTCCTCCTCTCCGACTGACTCAACGCTGCTCTAAGCTCTGTTATAAGCTCATCCTGGACAAAAGAGAGAATCACGTACAATAAGAAACTACACCATAAGACACCTCAATCGAATGAATGAATTTCAACCTTGCTTTGCGGTGGACTTTCTGCCGATGCTTCCAAATCTTCGCCTGGATCTTCACCTAAAGACTCTTCTAGCTTTTCCTGCACGGCCTGTGCCATGGAGGAGAGTCTCCCCCACATATTGGAGGGACTAACCTGTTCCTAACAAGAAAATTTAGCAGAATTAGTGGACTAGATCGGCCGCATCAGCTGAATGTTGACTGCTTCGGATTCTGGACTACACGTCAGCCGCAGGCGCGGCTGCTTAGTTGCGTCCCAGACTCTCAGAGCATAATAGCAAAGTCAGGTCCATATGCATCATATCAAACCAGAGCGTTTCCCCTATTCCTTGGAGAACAAATCAAACAGACTTGTTAAATAGGGGGACTGACTGCTGCACTGGAAAACTGCTACACTGGATAACAGACTGCATCGCTTAGCCCAGTATTCTGCGAGCAACAGACCCCGTTAGTGTTTATTACATGCGAACCATGGGATACATATTTAACAATTAGATTATTCGCTCTCGATTTCTATGAGGTGATAGTTGATGAGGCAATTTACTTCAAATAACGGTTTCCAATTATTTCTTGACGTATTATTAAACTTTGCGCCGGAAAAAGATCGCTCGGATTGAATTGCCATTTAAAATCGAAGTTGTGCATTTTTGAAATGGCTAGCGAGTTCAATTTCAAATAATCAATTCATTATTGCATTATTGAAACGATTAGCGGGTTCAATATTCAAATAATCAGTTCATTAATTAATCTTGAGGGGTACGCTTCGCTTGATTTGACTATAACAATTATCTCGGTTTCTGTAGCATGAAGTGACTAGGAGTATTTCTGTTCCCCTGGATGGGATGCTAGTCCATTGCAGGGTTAAATTCGCCGATACCCATTTATACACCTGGCAAGAGAAAGGCACTGTGACTCAGGGTGAGAGTAAAATTGATTTCATACTTGCTGAGATTTTCGGATAGGAGCGATCGCATGAAAAACCCAGACGGAAATTTCATCGTCCAATCACAATTGCGAAACGAATTTCTCACATGTGGGAAAAACTAGCTTTTCGTCCAATCACAAATCAGTCAGTTCGCAACTCGTTCATGTTGTTTTCAGCGCCTCTTCAATCTTCATTTCCAAAAGTTTACACTAGTTTTCTCACGAATTAACTTTAATTTACAGACAATGGCGGAAAGTTCCAACAGCTTCATCGCTTTAGATAACCCAACAACAGCAGAACAAAAACACTCTGGAAAAAACCCGATGAGACGTTAGCTCGCTTAGCGAAGTCCTCAGACAGAAGGAAGACATAAAAAAGGCTCGGCAAAAGAAATCGAATCAGATGAACTCAACACAAGCGTCATAAGAATAGCCTGCGTTGCAGCCGGACGTGTCATATAATCCCCGACTATACTGGCGGTTTAGACTGTCTGCGACGCAGGCTACAAAAGAAAGGATAGCGAGAATTATGGGAGTGTCTAATTAGCGCAGCTCGGGGGTAAACAGCGCGGGTCGCGGGTAAGCGACGCGGGTCATGCAAAAAAATAATCACAACAAAAAACCTGATCTTTAGTAGATCTGTTCCTTTGGCTCAACGCGCGAAAAGGCTTGGTCTTCGGTCTTGGTTAATTCCAGACTCTTTCGTCGAAAGACATTCTGCCGTGCGGACGCCTCAGTTTGAGGTAAGTTTATTCATTTTAAAAGCCTTTATATATACTTAACAGCCAGCTGGAATGTTCGAAAAATTCATCAAAAATTTGTCAAGACTTCATTAAATAAGAGAAACGACATTGATTCTTTCAATAAATTTTCAAAGTCTCTTATCAGTAGTTGTTTCAATGTAGCCCGTCAACGAACCAAACTCGACGATTTTAGTGTGCAACAGGCTGAGGCAAATAACCTCGGTCTTCTTCATTGATTCCTTCATTCATACTTTCAAATCTTTAATTCAAAGATACCTCAGTGACAAGTCTAGTCCTTAGCAGTTTCCGAGGATTATTTACTTGGCTTTATAATATAGATAGGACCCTGCGCGCGCTCTGATTGGTCAAAAACACATGTTTTATCAGCCGGTATAAAACATAGAAAAAGGGTGTTTTATTCGCAGATTTTCACCACATTACCTCTATGTCATAAAGCAAATGAAGAAGCCTAAGACGTGTATTACATCGTGATAAAACACTCCGGACATTTGAGAATGCTCGGGAAATGTAGAAAACACTCGCCTGCGGCTCCTGTTTTCTACATTTCTCTCGTGTTCTCAAATTCCCGTCGAGTTTTATCACAGTGTAATATACGGCTTAGGCTTCTTTATTTGTTAAGTATATAAATCTTTGTAGGGTTATATATTGTATAGGCATTTGTTTGGGTTAGAAAACCCAAACAAATAGTGGCCGAAACCTGTCTCAAAACATATATTTCAATTTGTATTTTTCTATAAACGTTTGTGCGGCCGTTGACAACTTACGCTGAAAAATCAACTTTTTGATTCGACGGCTTTCCAACAGAATTTTAGTGTATGCAATCTCTCTTGATTTCCACAGTTACTAACTGGTGCATCCGTCATTACTGTTTTGCGTACCAATGTTTTTGCCAGACCAGTCATTTGGTATTAATTCATTTCAACTGAGATCACTGAAGGCAACTTGACCAAATACACTTTAGTTTAGTAGATTTTAATGTCTCTCAGTAATGGTAATTGCCTGAGAATTGTAAGTGTTTCTCGCTAGAGTTGTGAAAATCGCCGACAGCACGAATTCACAGGCAGGGTTGCCAAAGGGTTGTCTGGAAAACCCGAGTAGCGAATAGTTGCGAATAGCGAATAGTGCGAATAGTACGAATAGTCTCGAATAGTGCGAATAGTGGCGAACAGTCTCGAATAGTGGCGAACAGTTGCGAATAGTGGCGAATAGTGGCCAATAGTGGACAAATCGTGGCAAATAGTGGCCAAATTGGGGAAATTTGGTACCCAATTTTCCCGTTAAAAAGCATAGATGCTTATCAGTACAAAAGGTGTTTCTAAACGTAATTTCTTCTGTTTTCACCGCTGCAAAAGCGTAAATACGTNATAGTGCCAAATAGTGGCCAAATTGAGGGAATTTAGTACCCAATTTTCCCGCTAAAAAGCATGGATGCTTATCGGTACAAAAGGTGTTTCTAAACGTAATTTCTATGTTTTCACCGCTGCAAAAGCGTAAATACGTCTTAATTAGGTTATCCTTGTGTTTTCTGTTTTCTTACTGTCGGCCCTAGCCTAAGTCCTGAGAAGAAAAGGTAATAAATTCACTGAAATTCTCATGCTTGTTTGGATAATTAACTAATGCAAGATGTAGCTTAGATGTTTTTGTTTTTATAACCGGTTATCAGAGCAGCTCGTTTGTGCCTTTTCAGTTGATAAACTAATCACAGAGCACTTACCTCAGATTCGTATTTGATTTGATTTGATTTGATTTATTTATTTATTTTTATTTATTTATTTATTTATTTATTTATTTATTTATTTTCACGTGATCAGTTTCAACGAACCCAGATCAGTGCTGAACTAAAGCGGGTGACTATTGACGACTATTCGCCACTATCCGTTATTCGAGTTTTTTTAGACAACCTGCTAAAGGTCAGGAAACGGTCAGGAAAAAGACATTTTCCCTATCAAAAAGGATTTGTTAAAAACTTGTCAGTCATAATGAATGGGTGGAAAGGAGGGCTGCCCCTGAGGGCAGGCTAGAAACCGTTACTATATCTGTTATTTATTTGGTTAGATAAACTTTATTTTTATCAAGGGAAAGTCAGAGAAAAGCATTGTTCTGGACCTCTAGTTTTGTCTCTAACTCAAATCCTTGCATTGTGGGTAACAAATCATGTTT